CCCGTTTCCGAGGACGAATTACCGAGCTCAGCGGCTGGACGCACTCCCGCTTCGGGTCCCTGTGGGCTGGGCGGGCGCGGCGGGCGCTTCTCACGGGGTGTCCCACGGGCCGCTGTGTGGACGGCTGAACACTGGCGGGGTCCCTCACGTGGTGACAGGGGAGGCAGGTGTCAGCTCGGAGTCCAGCTGGGGCTACCAATAAAAATATATATCTAAAGACCTGCGTGGTTTGGCTCAGTGGATAGAGCATCGGCCTGCAGACTGAAGGGTCCCAGGTTCAATTCCGGTCAAGGGCATGTACCTTGGTTGCGGGCACATCCCCAGAGAGGGGTGTGCAGGAGGCAGCTGGTCGATGTTTCTCATCGATGTTTCTAGCTCTCTATCCCTCTCCCTTCGTCTCTATAAAAAGTCCATAAAATATATTTTTTAAAAAATCTAAATAAGAAAGAATTGGACCGTTTTCGGGACCTGCCTCACCCGTAAGGAAATTGCTTTGTATCTGAAGAGCAGGCTTTTTCTAATATGTCTTCAGGCCCCGGCACAACAGCCTTCGGCTCGTCCTGCACGCCCCTCCTGGGGACGGAGCCCACAACCCGGGCATGTGCCCTTGGTGAGGAATCGAGTTGGCAGCCTCTGGGTCATGCAATGGTGGTCTGGACCACTGTGCAAGTCTGGACCCTGACAAAGGACTGAATACTGGGTTCAAGGCCTGGGCCCCAGATGGCCTTCTGGGCTCTGGCATGAAGGTCTGGGACCCGGATGTAGGTCTGAGCCCCGGATGAAACAGAGGTCTGGGCCCTAGAGGTTGTTCTGGGCCCTGTTTGGAGGTCTGGGTCAGGGGCTGGGCATCAGACCTACATCCGGGGCCCAGACCTTCATGCCAGGGCCCAGAAGGCCATCCAGGTGCCCAGTCCTTGAACCCAGTATCCAGTCCTTTATTGGGGTCCAGACCTCCACAGTAATTCAGACCCCAGGTTCCAGGGTCCTGCACTCCCCGAACCTGCCTCCTATGCCTCCCAGACATCCCAGCACCAGCGGGCACTGCCCCCTCCTCAGACCCGAGTCCCAGCTCCATGGGGCTCTCCAGGTTCTGGGATCCGGTTACCCAACCTCTCCTCTTGCTCCCCAGCCACAGAGGTGGGGGGAGGGAGGAGAGTTGCATCCTGTAGTTACTCTCTCACCCCACCACCACCACCTGGCTGCTTCCTGACATCAAGGTGTCAAAATCAATGTGGATTGTTTTCCTGATTGCCAGACTACTAAATGAATATGAATGTTTCCCATCTCCTCTCACCTAATAGCTCATCCTTTTTGAACTTCTTGGCAAGTATTCACTCATTCCTCACAAAACCCTCCAGCTAGCAATTACTTTAAAAAAATATATATTTTATTGATTTTTTTACAGAGAGGGAGAGGGATAGAGAGTTAGAAACATCGATGGAAGAGAATCATCGATCAGCTGCCTCCTGCACACCCTCACTGGGGATGTGCCCACAACTAAGATACATGCCCCTGACCGGAATCGAACCTGGGACCTTTCAGTCCGCAGGCCGACGCTCTATCCACTGAGCCACACCAGTAAGGGGTAGCTAAAAGAGCCAGCAGTTGTTACTGCCCTCGCCCTCCGGGGGAGAGAACGGAAGCCAGGGTAGGCTGTTTGTTGCCAAGGTCACATGCACAGCTGATAAGCGTTGGCCCGGAGACACTCAAATCCACGCACCTGCCGCTCGGGGCGCGCCCCTGATGCGTCGGTGCTGCGGTTTCTGGGCGGACGCAGCTGTTGTCGGCCACCTGAGCTGTGTGAGGGCTTTCGCCTTACAGAGCTTGGACCCCCAGAACCTGACCCATTTGCCAGCCTGGAGCCAGGAAGCTTGCAGTCTCCTCCATCATTTGGTCCATGATTTCTTACGACCCGTGTCCTTACTGTCCGCCCCTCCCCTCCCAGCCCCTCCGGCTGCTTCCTCCCTCCACCTCTTTCCACTGGACCGTCTTGCAGAGCTGCTGCCTGTCTGCTGAGGTGGCAACCATCTCCTCTTCGGCTGGCGATGCTGCAGGAGCTCTCGAAGGCACTAGGTGGCTTCTCCTTGAGCCAAGCTCTTCAAAATGTACGAGTGCTTGTGATCAGAGTTACTGAAAGCCGGGAATCGGTGTGGTTTCTTCTCCTTCTTTTAAAGTTTAATATATTTTATTGATTTTTTACAGAGAGGAAGGGGGAGGGATAGAGAGTTAGAAATATCAGCTGCCTCCTGCACACTCCCTACTGGGGATGCGCCTGCAACCAAGGCACATGCCCTTAACCGGAATCGAACCCGCAGGCTGACGCTCTATCCACTGAGCCACACCGGTTACGGCATTGGTGCGGTTCTGTCCTACGGAGGACTGTACGGTGCGACTCCGTTCCAGATTTTTCCAGCGGCCACCGCAGCAGATGCTGTCTACCACTGTCCTTGCTCACGCTGGCAGGGGTCACTCCCAGCGCGCTTGGCTCCGCCTGCCCCGTGTTTTGCTCTCACCCCAGCGTGGTTCCCGGTGTCCTATGGAGAGAATCCGCTTGGAGATCCAAGTTGGTATTATTTTTAGAAATAAAGACATCCCGTCTCAGCTTGCGGAGGCCTGTTCAGAGAAGGAAAACAGAGAGAGGCCCCATGTTCTCCCCAAGTTCAAGCTGGAGTGGTGCAACGTGGAGGCAGAACTCCTGACGCATCGCCTGCAGTGTACTTTGTTGCAAAGTCCGACCTTGCCTTCCGCATCGCTCAGCTCTGGGAACGGGCTGAGCGGCCCCGGACACAGGCCCCTTTGTCTGGCCCTGTCCCCGCCCGGGCCATCCCCCACGCCAGGCCTGACCCGCTGCCCCCCTCGTCTCCTTGAAAACCGTGCCGATCAGATGTCCACAATTCCTGCTGAACCTGCAGCCCGTCCACAACAGGGGCCTTTTGTGCAAACAAAGTGGGAGGAATGTGGAAAATGTCGCCGTGTGCTGGGCAGAGCTGTTTTCTTTTCTTTTTGATTTTTTTTTACAGAGAGGAAGAGAGATAGAAAGTTAGAAACATTCATGAGAGAGAAACATCGACCAGCTACCTCCTGCTGGGAATGTGCCCGCAAACAAGGTACATGCCTTTGATCGGGATCGAACCTGGGACTCTTCAGTCCGCAGACCAACGCTCTATCCACTGGCTTTGGCTGGGCAGAGCTGTTTTTGTCTGTGTAGGAAATACTCAGCAGGCCTGGAGTCTCAAGGGCCAGCCTGGTCTATAGAGAAGCATTTAAAACAAACAACACTGGCTCTGGTCAAGTGAAGTCTCCCTTCACACCCGAAAAGGACAGCCTTTGCAAATGAGAAAGGCCCTTTCTCCTCACTCCAGACCCTGTCTGAGGCAGGGCTCTCCAGAGAACAGAACCAACGTGATGTTGGAGAACAAAAGGGGGTGGGGGGAGAGAAACACTCGACAATCACAAGCCGGTTAAAAACAACTAAGATATGCCTGTGGCTGGAGTGGCTCCCTCAGGCTCAGTTGCTGGTTTGATTCCCGGTCAGGGTACACACTTGGAAATAATTTTTTACAGAGGAAGAGAGAGACAGAGAGACAGAGAAACAGAGAGACAGAGAGGCTCATCTATGGGCTGCCTCCTGCACGCCCCCTACTGGGGATGAGACAGCAACCCAGCCATGTGCCCTGTCTGGGAATCAAGCTGTGACCTCCTGGGTCACATCAATGATGAGACCCAGGAGAAACATCAGTGATGAGAGAGAACCATTGATCAGCTGCCTGCTGCCCAGCCTCTGCCAGGGATCAAGCGGTAACTCGGGAATATGCCCTGACCGGGAATCGAACTGTTTTCTCCTGGTCAAACTGTTTTCATAGGTTGATGCTCAACCACTAAGCTACACCAGCTGGGCTAAATCCATACTAATAAAGTCTTGGGAGTGATCAGGCCAGCAGGGGAGGGCAGTTGGGGGTGATCAGGCCAGCAGGGGAGTGGTTAGGGGGTGATCAGGCTGGCAAGCAGTTGAGTGGTCCCAGATTGTGACAGGGATGTCCGACTGCCAGTTTAGCAGGTTCAGGCCTAAACCGGCAGTCAAACATCCCCGAAGGGTCCAAGATTGGAGAGAGTGCACGCTGGGCTGAGGGACCCCCCCCCCCCATGAATTTTGTGGACAGGGCCACTAGTATATATATATATTTTTTTAAAAATACAAACAAGTATACATGGTGTGGCTGGCCACGTGGTGGTGGGGAGCGGGAAAGGGCTTACTGTGATTGAGGGGATTTAGAAAAACTTCGTGGAGCAGATGCTTCATGAGTTGGCCTTTGAGGGAGGAAGACATTATTGAAAGCAAAGCAAAAACAAACAAAAGAACAAAGCAAAGCTGTCAGGAGCGCCTTGGCCTCTTCAGGAAACCTTGCCTTACAAGGTTGGATCCCCGGAATGAAGACCAGGCTCCACCTTTGGGGGGACGCCCACCTCTGCGCGGTCCCAGCTGGGCGCATGCGCCTGGCGGGGCTCGCGCAGTGACCATAGAGACGCAGAGCTAGATCGTCGGCCTCCTCGGAGGCAGACATTTTGGATCCTGGCAGAAAAGTTGCAGTGGGCTGGGACCACTACCAAGTCAGGCTGCACAGCCCAAGAACGTGACTGGAAAAGACCTCCTGTGGGACGGCAGAGCCTGTCAGCGGAGCGAATTCGTGATGTTCGTGTGGGGAGGACAGGCTATTAGAGGTGCCCACCGCCTTGCCCTCATCCGAGATGGCGGCTGTGCGGACGCTCTAGCCGGCGCCTCTCGGTCTCCCGGATGCCCGGAGGGGGCGGCGGCCTTCCCTCTGGGTCCCGGGAGGCTGCGGCGGCGTCGGTCACAGCGAACGCGGGTTCCGCCGGAGCTCGTGTGGGGTTTGGTGCGAGGAGCGTGAGGGTCTCCGCCTCTCCCTCCTGTGCCGGGCCCCGGGCGTCGCGGCCGCCGCCGTCGGAAGCCTCCCGGCGGGCCCCGCGCCGCGGGCCGGACGATGCCCAAGAAGCTGCTGCTGCTGCCGCCGCTGTCCGTGTCCTCGGCCTTCCGCGCCCCGCGGGTCAGCGCCGCCGCCCGCCTGGCCATGAACGCCGCCCGCACCGGCTACCGGGTCTTCTCGGCCAACTCCACGGCCGCGTGCACCGAGCTGGCCAAGCGCATCACCGAGTAAGGGCGGCGGGACCCCGGAAGCCCTCCGGCTGCCCTGTCCCGGGCCCGCCAGGCCAGGCTGACCCCCTCGCCCGGAGCTGCGGGAGGGGGCAGGTGGCCGAACCTGCCTGCCCTTTGGGGGCTGCACAGACCGTGGAGGTGACCGGAGGCGGCCCTTCCCCGTCTCCCCCCCCCCCCCCCCATTTCTGCGGACTTTTGATGACTTAACACACCCACCCCGGTGCTCGGACCGCTCTTCCTCCTTCCGTCACCCCGGGCGGTGGTGAGGGTTCCGCTGCCCCGGAGGGAGGCGTTGGAGGGGGGGCCGGGTCCGGTCCCCGGGCTGGAGTTGACCCAGGAACCTCTCACCGCCGGCCCCAGCTTCCTCCGTGGGACCGGGGCCGGGAGGTGTTACACCCCAGCGCCCGGCGGCCCGGGGCCCCAGGAGGCCGGCAGGCGGGAGGGTTCCCGGGCGCCCGGGGCCCCCGCGGAAACCGGGGTGTAGGGAGGGCGGGCCCTGAGGACGGGCAGGTCCAGGCGAGCAGATTTGTGGGGTTTGGGGTAGAAACAGGGGTCTCCCCGCGGTTTGCAGGGCAGCTGTAGGCTGGGTCTTGGAAGCCACGGACACGGGGGTCCCCGGCGCCCCGAGGGGCCGCCCCAGGCCGCCGCCTGACACGGGGCGCTGACGGGCCGGACCTCCTTTGTAAACGGGGGTGATCCTGCCTGTGGGGCAGAGGCTGTGAGCTGAGCCACCTGTTGTGTATACATCCAGCCTGCGGAGCGAGGCTCAGGGCGGCCCCTGAACACACCTCTCTCTGGGGGGCTCTGGGGGGCCCTGGAGCCCCACTGTGAGGGAAGGGCTTTCTGAGCCCCCAGGTAAACCTGCGGATAGAAAGAGCGGCTTGTCTGCTGGCATTTAAAGTCATTTTCAACTTTTAGTTTACATTCACGCGCCCCTGGCGTTTCCCGGGTGGGACTCAGGCAGGGTTACATTTTAAAATTCCCGATGGAAGCACAAAACGCTTCCTTTTTGCGCTTCCTTTCTGTCCGGCGGAAGGTTAGGTGAGAAGAGGGTAAAAACAACCCTTTTGCAATCCACAAACCCTCCGACTGTTTGTCTTTTCTTTTTGAGGCCATCCAAAATGCTATATGGGAAGTGTGCGTGTGCGTGCGTGCGTGTGTGTGCGTGCGTGCGTGCGTGTGTGTGTGTGTGTGTGTGTGTGCATGCATGTGTTCGGGGTCAGGCTCAGCTCGTGGACCTTGCTGAGAGAAAACAGAAAGCTGGAGGGCACTTTTTGTAATTAATTATTGCCACCTGAGGATAGGTTTCAGTAGATTTTGTGCTTAAAAAAATGTTTTCAGCCGAAACCGGTTTGGCTCCGCGGTAGAGCGTCGGTCTGCGGACTGAAAGGTCCCAGGTTCAATTCCGGTCAAGGGCATGTGCCTTGGTTGTGGGCACATCCCCAGTGGGGGGTGTGCAAGAGGCAGCTGATCGATGATTTGCTCTCATCGATGTTTCTAACTCTATCCCTCTCTCTTCCTCTCTGTAAAAAATCAATAAAATATATTTTTAAAAATGTTTTTATTGATTTCCGAGAGAGGAAGGGAGAGGGAACGATAGAAACGTCTATCCGCTGCCTCCTGCACATGCCCCGCTGGGGCCGTTTGGAGTAAGGGGGATGGATGCTCCAGCATCTGAGCCCCGGGCCAGGGCTGGGGGCACATTTAAATGTCACTGGCTGTTTGTGTGTTTTTTTTTCATATTAGGTTCTTCCCTGCCTTGGTCCAAAAAGGTTTTAAGTTACTATGAACAATAAATATTTGTAATTCTTTTATCAGTTTCATATGTTGAGTTTCCCAGTAAGATTTTATTTGAGCAAAGCGTTTTACTACTGAGCAAATTTTCGGATGATTAAATTGGATTGACCTCTGAGGTTACTGGTATATTTTATTTCCAGGATTCCTTTCGGATCTAAATGTCACTCGGTAATCTGAAAGCTTTTTTGATGATGATGCTTATTAATCAGACAGGTGTACTACCCCCCAGGATTTGTGCAGATTATCCAAATTTACCGTCTTAGCCATTTTATTTAACTACTTTTTAAAATAGATTTTTACTGATTTCAGAGAGGAAAGGAGGGGGAGAGAGAGATAGAAACATCAATGATGGAGGAATATCATTGTTCGGCTGCCTCCTGCATGCCTCTCACTGGAGACTGAGCCCGAAACCCAAGCATGTGTCCTTGGCTGGAACTGAACCCGGGACCTTCCAGTCCACAGTCCAACCCCCTTGTTTCCCTGATTGTCCCAAAAAGGGCTTTTCCCACTCGATTTGTTCTCATCCGTCCAGACTGTTCGCTCTGCCTTTGGTTCATGGCCCCAGTCTGTGTGCTTGGGCGTGTGGTTCGGGAGTGGCTGCCAGTGAGTGCCAAGCCCTGGTTTGGAGTGATTTTCCAGGACAGTTACTGGTCATAAGGCTGTGCGCTGGCCCAGCAACCTCAGCTGCGGGCTGGTCAGCGGAGACTGCGGTGTGGGCTGGTCAGCGGCCTGTGGACTCCCACGCACTGTGTTCTTCCCGAATTAAACTTTCTCCTGCTCTTTGGCAGAGAATGCCGGATAGCTGATTTATTTATTTTTATTTTATTTATTTTTTAAAATATATATTTTATTGATTTTTCACAGAAATGAAGAGAGAGGGATAGAAAGTTAGAAATATCGATGAGAGAGAATCATCAATCAGCTGCCTTCTGCACACCCCCCACTGGGGAAGTGCCCACAACCAAGGTACATGCCCCTGTCCGGAATCGAACCCAGGACCTTTCAGTCCGCAGGCCGACGCTCTATCCACTGAGCCAAACCGGTCCCGGCCGGATAGCTGATTTAGTCTCTGTTACGCGTGCGTGCGAGCTGGAGTGTTTGGGTGGAGCACTCTAACTGCCTTTTCTTTCCCGCAGGCGGCTGGGCGCTGAGCTGGGGAAGTCCGTGGTGTACCAGGAGACCAATGGAGGTAAAGCTGTGCCCACTCCCGAAGCGTCCTCTGTCCGCTGAGTGCGGTCCTGGCTGGCGATATCACTCATGTCTAACGCGGAAACATTCCTCATAACAAATCTGGACTCCTGTGCTCTCCTGAAAGGCTCCTTCCTCTTGTCCAACGTAATGCCAACACCCTGTCATTTGGGCTGGAAAAGGAGAGCGGTAGAGACAGTTTTCTGTTGGCAGTGCTGGGAGACGCTCCCTGCTTTCACCTGTCCGCTGGCCAGCAGTAGCATCAGGAGCAACCTGGGCGTCGGCCTGTGGACCTGAAGGGTCCTGGGTTCGATTCCGGTCAAGGGCATGCACCTCGGTTGCAGTCTCTTCCCTGGCCTGGGCCCTAGTCAGGGCTCGTGCAGGAGGCAACCAAATGACGTATTTCTTTCACATCAGTGTTTCTCTCTGTCCCTCTCTCTTCCACTCTCTCTTAAAAAATCATTGGAAAAATATCCTCGGGTGAAGATTAAAAAAAAAGAGCAATCTGGTCTTGGGGATGGTGACATGAAAAAGGCTTTCTGTTCTTTTCACCTCCAAGCTTCCTCCCCTGCCCTCTGGGGAAGTAATCATGTCGCGGTCACTTTGCCGATGGCCGGTGGCCTAGGAATGCTGCCTCGTGAATCTCCTGGCGGGTGTGCACTTGTGGTTATAGTGCCCTTAGTCCTCGCAAAGACAAGTCAGTATCCAGTGATTTCGAATTCTTTTTTTAAAGTTGAAAGCCTGGATTTGTGATCCCATGCTTCCTTTCTCTTTCTGAGCTCTAATTATCTGTGGTCTGAGTAGTGCTTTTCTTAAAGCTACAGGGCATTTTTATTTTTCAGAAACAAGAGTTGAAATAAAAGAATCTGTTCGAGGCCAAGACGTTTTCATCATACAGACGATCCCCAGGTGAGAGTTGGCACTGCTTTGGCACAGCGCGTTAGCGTTCCCTGTGAACAAATTTCGTGTTCTGGAAGTCATGAATGTGTTTGCATGTAAACAGTTTTTTGAGACATTCTAGCAAATTCATAGCCTGAGGAGAGGGTCGTGGGAACCTCTGATTCATAGCAGGTGGGCATGGGGGGCAGTCTTGTTGGTCTGGGCCCCTAGCCTGTGGGGTCTGACGTTGTCCTCCGAGTAGAGAGTCGTAAATGAGGAGACTTTCAGACGCTCCGCTGTTATCGGCTGGTAAATGCCTGTGACACCCGTCAGGCAGCTCATGTTAAATCGCCAGGGGTGCATCCATGACGCCAATCCCTGAACACAAACTTGCACCGTTTCAGAGACGTGAACACCGCTGTGATGGAGCTGCTGATCATGGCCTATGCGCTGAAGACCGCCTGCGCCAGGAACATCATTGGCGTCATCCCCTACTTCCCCTACAGCAAGCAGAGCAAGATGCGGAAGAGGGGCTCCATCGTGTGCAAGCTGCTGGCGTCCATGCTGGCCAGAGCGGGTGAGTGAGGGCTCCCGCTGCCGCTTGGCGCCTCCTGCCTGGGACTAGCCCCCCGCACAGATGGAGGGGGACCCGCTTCTCCAGGTGCCTCCCTCAGTGCTCCTGTCTCTGCACAGAGCTGTGAGGGGGAGTGAGCTCAGGTAGGGTTCCTGCCTTTTCTCTCCTCTCTGTCTGTCTTAGAGTGGCATCGTCTGCTTCCGTGTTTTCTGCTCTTCTTCAGTCTTGGCCTTTGTCATCATCCCATCGTCTTCCTTCACGTTTCATCTTATCTTCATCACATTTTATTTTTATATTCTTATTTTTTTAAATATATTTTATTGATTTTTAAAAAAATATATTTTATTATTTTGTACAGAGAGGAAGGGAGAGAGATAGAGAGCTAGAAACATCGATGAGAGATAGAGTCATCGACCAGCTGCCTCTTGCACACCCCCCACCGGGGATATGCCCGCAACCAAGGTACATGCCCCTGACCGGAACCGAACCCGGGACCCCTCAGTCCCCAAGCCGACGTTCTATCCATTGAGCCAAACTGGTCTCGGCTATTTTATTGATTTTTTACAGAGAGGAAGAAAGAGGGATAGAGAGTTAGAAACATTGATCAGCTGCCTCCTGCACACCTCCTACTAGGGATGTGCCCGCAGCCAAGGTACATGCCCTTGACCGGAATCTAACCTGGGACCTTTCAGTCCGCAGGTCGATGCTCTATCCATTGAGCCACACCAGTCAGGGCTCTTCATCACATTTTAACTGGTACTGTGGGCACTCCTGGCCTTCCGAGGTTCAGGCTGGAGTTCTGTCCTTGCCTTCTTGCTGAGCTTTATTTATGTACGTAATGTCATGCTGGAGTTTCCTTTGGCTCCTTCTCCTGCTGATACACTCCCCGGTCCCGTCCTGAGTGTGTGTGCAGCAGCTCATTTTCTCTGCTTTTATTCTAATGTGTGTTTGTAGCAGTAACGTACTAGCCGGCCTGGGAATCACATGTAAAGACACTTTACAATTATTGGAATTTCATTTGCCTGATGTTTACATAAAACTCTCACAAAGAAAAAACAAATAGATTTGAGTCCTCAGAAACATACATCTCTTTTTGTTTAGCCCTGTCGATATTTCAGTCTGTTGTCTTGTTTTTCTATAAGAATATTTCATGCTGCTCTAACCAGTTTGGCTCAGTGGATAGAGCAGCAGCCTGCAGACTGAGAGGTCCTGGGTTCGATTCCGGGCAAGGGCCTGTACCTTGGTTGCAGGCACATCCCCAGAGGGAGGTGTGCAGGAGGCGGCTGATCGATGTTTCTCTCTCATCAATGTTTCTGGCTCTCTATCCCTCTCCTTTCCTCTCTGGAAAAATCACAATATTTCTTTTTAAAAAGAATATTTCATGGCCCGTTCTTTTATTTCTGATAGAAATTGTTTTAAACCTTTCAGTTTTTATCTTTGTATTATATGATTTCTCTTTTTTAAAATATGTACATTACTTTGTTTTTACTTTCTTATTCTTCTGCCTCAGCCACAAACTTTTTACATTTCTTCCTAAATTATTTAAGGAAGAAATAATTAATTATTAATTATTTAAATAATCAACATATTGATTATTTTTACATCAATTTTTGCTTCAGTATTAATTAATTCCATCTTCATATTTTTGCTTCCACCTGAGTTTTCTTTTCTTGATTTTGAGGGCCAAGTGAATAGTAACAGCAGCAGAGGAGGGCACGTCTCTCAGCTTCAGGCCTGTCTTTGTGGAAGGTTAGAGATGCCTTCACTGGAGGCTGCGCACGTTTTTTAGAAAGAGAGGAAGGGAGAGAGAGAGATAGAAACATCAGTGATGAGAGAGAATCATTGATTGGCTGCCTCCTGCACGCCCTCTACTGGAGGTTGTGCAACCCAGGCATGTGCCCTGACCAGGAACCGAACTGGGGACCTCTTAGTGCCCAGGTCAGTGCTCAGCCACGGAGCCACGCTGGCCAAGCCGGGCACATTCTTTAGTTCCTTAGGTCTTGTTAAGGTTGCAGGTAAAGCCTGTGGCTCACGTGCTTGTTAACAGTGCCCCCGGTCTCTCAATAGGACACAGGAGCTGGGCGTCACTAACTTGCAGGGGTGAACTGGTAATTCTCTGTTTTAAAATTTCAGGTCTAACTCACATTATCACTATGGATCTTCACCAGAAGGAAATCCAAGGCTTTTTCAGCTTTCCCGTGGACAACCTGAGAGCCTCACCTTTCCTGCTTCAGTACATCCAGGAAGAAGTGAGCAGCCGTCCGCACCCTGTCCTCCATGTTGCTCTCTGGTGCCCGATTCCCACGTGGAAGGCACATCCGTGACCTTTCCCTTAGTCTGACCCTGAGGCAGCCAGATGCGGTCAGCCCTCAGGCCTGGAGGGTCCTAGAGTTCAGAGACGTAAATACGGATTTCCTTCTAAGTATCTTCAGCAGTTGGCTTATGTTTTCTTAAATGAAGGTTTTAAGAATTACTTTTTTTTCTTCGTGATGTAGCAGTACTTTTGCAATTGTGTTAATTGATAAGTGTTAAAATTCTAAAATATGTAAATGAAAGTCTAGCATATGTGATTGCTAGTGTGGATTGTTGTTTTAAGAGGAAAGAATGTAATACCAGCATCCAGGCATAACTTTTCAGTATTTTCTTATTTTTCCTTCAAATCTAGATTCCAAATTACAGAAACGCAGTCATTGTAGCTAAGTCTCCTGATGCTGCGAAAAGGTAACTGCTCCAGATACTTCCGCAGGCGCTGGCGGTGCTGAGGTCAGAGGGAGCTCTCTGGTGTCTAGGGGCTGTCTGGCGGCCGGGAAAGCTCACCGGCCTGGACTCTCCCCTCATCGCTGACACTGAAGTGCTTTCTTCACAGTCTCAGGAAAGGAAGGCCGAGGGCTATGAGCACTTTCCAGGCGGTGGTTTGTTGTTGTTTTTTAAATATATTTTATTGATTTCAGAGAGGAAGGGGGAGGGAGAGTTAAAAACATCGATGAGAGAGAAACATTGATCAGCTGCCTCCTGCATACCCCCTACTAGGGATGTGCCTGCAACCAAGGTGCATGCCCTTGACTGGAATCGAACCTGGGAACCTTCAGTCCTCAGTCCACTGAGCCAAACTGGTCAGAGCTTAAATAAGTTTTTGATTTCAGAGAAGAAGGGAGGGAGAAGGAGATAGAAACATCAATAATGAGAATCATTGATCAGCTGCCTCCTGCATGCCCCACACTGGGGATCGAACCATGACCTCCTAGTTCGTAGGTCGACACTTAACCACTGAGCCACACCGGCGGGTCAGCAATGATTTTTAAGAGACCTTTTCAACAGTTTTTTCTTCGGAAGTAGAGTTAGATTATTGGGCAAAGGCTAGAACCAGAATGATCTAGAACCAGACACTCGCCCACATCTCGGCTCTCATGCCCCTGGAGGTTTTTATTCTGGCTGGGCCCCACGTCCTGTTTTGTATAAGTAATTCCCTGTGAGTCCTAAGAGGTGGGTGATACTTCCAGTTTGTGATTACTAAGATGAGGGAATCGTGATGGTGGGTTTTCTCCAGACGCTCACCGCCTGCCTCGTCCTCTCAGGGCCCAGTCCTATGCGGAGAGGCTGCGGCTGGGCTTGGCCGTCATCCACGGGGAGGCGCAGTGCACTGAGCTGGACATGGACGACGGCCGCCACTCGCCCCCAATGGTCAAGAACGCCACGGTGCACCCCGGCCTGGAGCTGCCCTGTGAGTCGCTCTCTTCCTCACTGTTTTGGAAATGAATAACGTCTTGGCTGAATGGCTAGGAATAATACTTAGGTGGACCTGCCGTCTGGGTATTTTTATACTATTTATTTATTTATAATATATTTTATTGATATTTTACAGAGAGGAGGAAGGGAGAGAGATAGAGAGCTAGAAACGTCAATGAGAGAGAAACATCGACCAGCTGCCTCCTGCACACCCCCCACCGAGGATGTGCCCGCAACCAAGGCACATGCCCCTGACCGGAATCGAACCTGGGACCTTTCAGTCCGCAGACCGACGCTCTACCACTGAGCCAAACTGGTTTCGGCTCCGTCTGGGTATTTTTATTTATTTATTTATTTATTTTTTTTTTTAAAATATATTTTATTGATTTTGTACAGAGAGGAAGGGAGAGAGATAGAGAGCCAGAAACATCGATGAGAGAGAGTCATTGATCAGCTGCCTCTTGCACACCCCCTACTGGGGATATGCCCGCAACCAAGGTACATGCCCTTGACCGGAATCGAACCCGGGACCCTTCAGTCCCCAAGCCGACGCTCTATCCACTGAGCCACACCGGTCTTGGCCCGTCTGGGTATTTTTAAATAATTGAACGGTGTGGCATTGATTTCGCCGCTTACAACCCGGAAGCGTGGAGGACTCGTAGCTATTGTTCTTCAGTTCCTTACCGCCAGGAAGCTGTTTATTCTGCTCGTGGGGAGAAGGTCACGCTGTCCAGTAACAGTCATCTGGATGAAAACGAACACCAGCTCTTGGTCTGGCAGCCTTTCCCTGGCGGTTGCCTGCGGATGGCATTCTCCTTACATTTTCCCATTGTCTCAGCGGCGGGCCTTTCCCTGGTGCGTGGTGGACGGTGTGGCTCTCCTTGCCCTGCTACTCCGTCCTCACACCTGTGCAGCAGGACTGGCCTCCGCTGCAAAGTGCTGTGTGCAGTATGCACACCGACTTCGAAGACTGAGTCTGAAAACATGTCAAACAGCTCCAGTAAATGTGCATATTGATTACTTAGTGAAATATTTTGGCTATATTGTAAAATAAATCTATTCATTTTACCTATGTGATTTTACTTTTTAATGTGGTACTAAAAATGTAAAGTTATGTCTCTCCATCTGTTTGTTTTTTAAACATTTTTAAATTGATTTCAGAGAGGGAGAAGAAGAGAGAGAGAAACATCAGTGATGAGAGAGAATCATTGATGGGCTGCCTCCTGCATGCCCCTCACGGGAGTGAGCCTGCAACCTGGGCATGTGCCCTTTGAGTGAGAATTAGCCATGACCTAGATCATAGGTTGATGCTCAACCACGGAGCCACGCCAGTGAGGCTCACCGTCCGTTTCTACCGGACAACGTGCTCTAGACAGGCTGTTTCTGAGGGACCCCGGCTCCTTGCAGAGGAATCTGCTGCTTGCTTGCTTTCTTTTGTTGTTGTATTTTGTCTACAGTGGCTTTGCCCCACTTCCAGAGGGTGAGGTTGGTGTGAGCAGTTGCTTAGCGATGCTTGACTAACGGGTCTTGTCATTGTGTCGTTTTGCAGTGATGATGGCCAAAGAGAAGCCGCCGATCACCGTGGTTGGGGACGTCGGCGGGAGCATCGCCATCATCGTGGTACGGCCGGCGTCTTCCCGTGCAGAGGGCACCCAGGCTCATAGCTCTTTCACGTTGGGCTGTATGTCCAATAATGACAATGGACTTAAATGGCTCCGACTTTCCGTTCTCACCCAAACCTGATAAGGAGAGGTTTTTATGTGGGCGAAGAGGGATTGTTATAACCGACAGCTGTGCTGTCCCATAAGTTCACCCCCACAAGTGACCTTGGTCTTAAGGACTGTAGTTCCCATCAAAGCAGCTGACATCCTCAACCTTAAGCTTTAGGGTGGAGAGGAGAACTGAGGAGGAGCCGTTCCATTTAAAAATATATTTGAATTGATTTCAGAGAGGAAGGGAGAGGGGGAGAGAGAGAAATTCCAGTGATGAGAATCATGATTGGCTGCCCCCTGCACACCCCACACTAGGGATGGAGCCTGCGACGTGGGCAGATGCCCTGACTGGGAATTGAATTGTGACCTCCTGGTTCACTCATAGGTTGATGTTCAACCACAGAGCCATGCCAGCCAGGCAGAACTGTTCCATTTCTGCTAGAGAACAGTGTCTCATTCTGCAAACTTGAACGTGTTCTATGTGCTGCCAGCCCTGAACGCCTCCGCTGGGCCAGAGGGTGGTTCTTCGCAGTGGCTCGCTTTGTTTCTGTGTACCCTCTTTATTTATTTTTATTTTTAAAAATATATTTTATTGATTTTTACAGAGAGGAAAGGAGAAGGATAGAGAGCTAGAAACATCGATGAGAGAGAAACATTGATAAGCTGCCTCTTATACACTCCCTACTGGGGATGTGCCCGAAACCAAGGTACATGTCCTTGAGCGGAATTGAACCTGGGGCCCTTGAATCCAAAGGCCAACGTTCTATCCACTGAGCCACACCGGTGAGGGCAATGTGTACCCCCTTTTAACTTTCTCAGGAAAGTATGGGGATGCTGGCTGTGTAGGATTGATCTGACATGGGACACAGGAAATGAGCCTGGGGTCATAAACGCCAGCTGTAAAGGTCACATGTGACTGTGAGGCGTTGCTCTTTGCACCGACAGCCACGCCAAGTGCAGTCTGCGCAGCCCTGTTGTCATTGCTGGGTGTGCAACCTCTGCCCGGGTGCATGGCTCCGCTGGTGCCTTGCCGTCCTCTGAGCCAGGTGCAGGGAAGGGCAGAGAGTCCTCAGGTGGGGCCCAGAGCTCCTTCACCATCTCTTCTCAGGATGACATCATTGATGACGTGGAAAGCTTTGTTGCTGCTGCAGAGATCCTGAAAGAGAGAGGCGCTTATAAGATCTACGTCATGGCCACCCACGGCATCCTGTCCGCAGAGGCCCCGCGCCTGATCGAGGAGTCCTCCATCGATGAGGTCTGTGTGCGGGACTCCACCTCTTAGCATAGGTCCGAGCTCGCTGCCTCTTCTGTGAGGGATGCCGGGACTCAGCCAGCATTGCTGACCCTCCCGAGGGCCTATCCTGGCCTGCATCTGTGTGCTCAGTGTGACCCGTGCTTCCACACGGCGTGATGCCCACGTAGCGTTTCTCCTCCATGCAGCACAGGGCTCACCTGTCTCCTGCACACCAGACGGTGTCACTCAGAACCTTAGTTCCCGGGGGGTGAAGTTGGTCAGTCTAGTTTGTAAACCCCAGACTCGGCGGACTAAGGTTTGGTGGGGTGGGCCTTGGGCGGGGGTACTAAATGTTGGATGAATGTTTCCAAACAACCACTGGGCACACCAGTTACCATGCTTATTCCCGTTGATGCCATGGCCAGGTGGTGGTGACCAACACTGTCCCCCACGAGGTGCAGAAACTGCAGTGCCCCAAGATCAAGACGGTGGACATCAGCCTGATCCTCTCCGAGGCCATCCGCAGGATCCACAACGGGGAGTCCATGGCGTACCTCTTCCGGAACATCACCGTGGACGACTAGCTCCACGGTGGCCTGGGCCTGGGCTCCTGAGGAGGACGGTGCCGTCACTACATACATGGTGTTTCCTTCCCAGGGAGGCAGCGGCTCCCGTCCAGATTGGCCAGCGGGAGGCATTCAGGTAGCCGAGAGGGAGACTACACTAACAGATAAATGGCCTTAAACATGCGCCCTCACCGTCCTGTTCCTTCAAGGAACGTTTCAGCACTTTCCTGAGGAGAACCAGAGCTGATGGTGCTGGAAGGACTTCCGGAGGCCGTTCTAACTCCGGAACGTTCCAGCCGTGGGGAATGCGTGTTCATGTTCAGCCTGGGGAGGGAAGCCGAGTGCCGGCACCGTTTCCATCCTCGGGTGAAATTCTGGAGAGGTGCCTTTTCCTGGAGAAACCGCTGGTGCAGCCAGTGAGCAGGCGCGTGCACAGTGTTCTCCCCAGCAAGGATGCAGTCAGAGTGGCGCCCTCCGCTGTGTGCCTTGCTGGTCTCTTCACGCCATTGCACAGCCACCCACTGTGTGCCTCCTGTGACTACCTGGTCCAGACTCCGCAGGAAATGCGGGATGCAGTCGGGGGTGGGGTCCATGGTGATCCCAGTCCCAGGCAGATGTCTGCCGCAGGTCCTGTCCTGACCCGTTGGCATGAGGTCCTCGTTGAGATGGTTAAGATCTAAATTTGTAAAACAACTGGTTGTAGTTTCCCTGTTATAGGTGACACTGTTTATTGAACCACCTAGGCTGCACGTGGCCTTTCTACCCAACGTTTAAAATGACATACTCAGCACCCTGGCGCACACTAGTTGTCAGGGAGCCTGGCTGCACCCTCTGGTCCAACCTGGGGCAGCGAGTGTAGCAACGGGGAGGAGGGCGTCTGCTCGTTGGGTCTGGTAGTTCCTCGGAGACAATAAAGGCCAATTTGCACAGTTTGTATGTTGTGTTTTTTCTGCAGGGAGCTTCTGTTGACTTAAATATATATAATTTCTGAGAGGGAGAGAGAAATATCAACGATGAAAGAAAATCATTGATTGGTGCCTCCTGCATGTCCCCCACTGGGGATCGAGCCCATAACCCAGGCATGTGCCCTGACCAGGAATCAAACCCAGACCTGGTTCCTATGTCGACGCTCAACTACTGAGCCACACCGGCCAGGCTCATTTACTAAGGACTAGAAAAGTTCCTGGCCCGCAGGCAAGATAGCCCATTAGCTTTTCGAGCGTACAAATTGGCTGCTGCTGTTAAAAGGCCAGGTGGGAGCATTTGAGCAAAGAACTTCACTATGAAATGAACATGGGTAGAGGAGACTAGGTTCCTACTGTGTTTCTCCGAAAATAAGACATCCTCCGAAAATAAGACCTAGCGCATGGAAAGATAAGACATCCTCTGAAAATAAGACCTAGCACAACTATGAGAGAAAAAATTAATATAAGACACTGTCTTATTTTCAGGGAAACATGGTAGCTTAGGCAGATGGCTCGTCCTTCCTGGCTTCTGTTGTCCGCAGTATAAAGAGGTTTAGAATTGAAAGCAAAGGTCCTTTCAACCAAATTCCATTTATACTCCATTTATATATTCCAAATATCCATAAATATTAATTCCATTAATATTTTCCCACCGGTACTTACTTAGTGAAAGCATGTAGTAGAACATATTTCCTGGGATTAGAATGAGGGTATATTGGATATGCCCTTCCTGATGGCATTTAGAGTCCTCATGTGCCTGGCATGATGCCAAGTCTCAGATGAAAAAAAACGGGCCCAGCTGGTGCAGCTCAGTGATTGAGCATGGCTGTATGAACTGGGAGGTCACAGTTCCACTCGCCCTCAGGGCATATGGCTTGGTACCCAGTAGGGGGCGAGCGGGGGGCAGCCAAGCAGTGCGGCTGATGAGTGATTCTCCTCATTGATGTTTCTATCGCCCTCTCTGATGTACCAATAAAAGTACATTCTAAGAAGAAATAAGATGGAAACAGGAGGACTCGGAGCTGCATTGCAGCCGCAGCTAGTGAAGCGGCAGTAGCCGTCCTGGGGGAGTCCCTGACCTGGGGATGGAGAGCCCACGCGCCACAGCTTCCAGTCGGGCCGGCCTGGTGAAGCTTCCCAGGCTGTGACTGCTCTGGCCAAGCTTCACCAGGCCGGCCGCGGGTGCACAGAGAGCAGAGTGTGTAAGGTGACCAGATCGTCCAGGTATTGGCGGGACAGTCCTGATTTCTAACAATTTTTCCCGCGTCCCGCGGTGTTTTTAAAAAGTCCCGATTTTTGGGAAGAATGTTTCCAATCTTTCAAAAAATCCGGACTTTTTTAAAACGCCGCGGGACAAATTGTTAAAAATCAGGACGTCCGATCACCTTACTTTAACGCCATTTCCAGAGAAACACTGCTTTGGTGGGGGGTGGGGGGAGGGTGTCCATGAAGGGTTTTAATGGCAAATTCAGACTAGGCTGAATTTGAATCTGAAAGCAGTAAAACAGTGCCTGCAGGTGCGCTGTCGGGAGCAGCCTGGGGGCGGGAGGAGGGTGTTCTGAGGTAAATTGGCACCAACGAGGCCTAATGGGGCAGCAGGAAAGGCCTGTCTGCTGAGGGAGTGGGACACGGTGGTGAGTGGGCTTTCCCGTTTCCCTCCCTTCTGGTTGTGCAAAGTGAGGGGAACTGTCCCCAAGAGGCCAGGACTCAGGGCCGCCCCAGGTTGGCGCCGTTGCTCTGCGTCAGGGCGCCCGAAGGGCATGGCATGGCGCCGGGCGGCCTCCTGGCCTCCGGAGGGAGAATCCGGCCTTTCCGGGCTGAGGCGGCTGCCGCTGGGTGGGCCTCAGGGGCCTCCCCTCCCCACACCACGTGGCGCTCCCAGCTGAGAAGGCTTTGGGGCGGCCCGCGTCCCTCTCCTGGGCGCCTTTGCTGGGAATAAAAATGAGGGCGCCTCGGAGTGCGGCCCGCCGAGTCTCCCCGATTCCCGCGGGAAAGAGGGCGCCTTGGCGCACAGCCAGGTCCCGGCAGGCGCTGCGCCCGCCCCGCGCGCTCCTCACGCCTCGGGCTGCGTGCGCATGCGCGTTCCTCACACCTCGGGCTGCGTGCGCATGCGCGTTCCTCACACCTCGGGCTGCGTGCGCATGCGCGTTCCTCCGCGCGCCAAACCTCACAACCGGACCGACCCACCGCGTGACCCAACGTTCACGACACCCTCCCCAGGGAGGCAGCCCTGGGCTCCCGCAGAGACCGACCGACCGACCGGACGGTTGGCGGGGACCCCACCCAGGCGGGCTCCAGAGGATGACTGGCGTCCAGTGCGGCCGGGACCAGGGACAGGGCGCCCCGGGACCCCTCAGAGGCGCTGCGAGCAGTGAGGGGGGCCTGGCCAACCGTCTGGCGGTGGAAGCTGAGCGCTCCTGAGGCCGCGCACGATGCCGCCCGTGGGGGCCACCGTCTCCCTCCGGGAGCTGGCCAACCTGGCCATCGGCACCCCCGAGGTGGGGGCCGTCAACTTCAACGCGCTCCACACGCTCCTCGTGGCCCTGCTCAAGAACCTCAACATGCAGGACCACCGGGTGGACTACCACCAGCCGCTGTCGCCCGAGCGGAGGCTCTCGGATACCTTTCGGGTGTGGCCCGGCACCCCGCTGCTGTCCACCAGCAGCCCGCAGGTCTCTGTGTCTAAAGAGAAAGAGAAGCGAAAGGCCAGCGTGCCCAGGGTCCCGTCGATGGTGCTGGAGAGCCAGATGAAGGGCCTGGGCGGGCAGGTCCAGGACCTGGGCGGGCAGGTCCAGGACCTGGGCGGGCAGGTCCAGGACCTGGGCGGGCAGGTCCAGGACCTGGACCGGCAGCTCCGGAACATGGACAACCAGCTGCAGGGCGTGCTGTCCCACATCCAGTACTTCACCTCCCTGGTCTCGGGCCCGGGCGTGGAGACCTCGGAGTGGATGGAAGAGCAGGCGAAGGCCTATGTCTTGGCCGAGGGGGTGGGTGCTGAGAGGGGCGCGTCCACCGAGCCGGGCGCCTTCATCACAGAGGAGGGCGCTCCCATCAGCGAGATGGGCGCTCCCATCAGCGAGATGGGCGCTCCCACCACCCAGACGGGCGCGCCCACCACCGAAGGGGGCGCGCCCATCACCGAGGGGCCCGTGCTCATGACCGAGGAGGGTGTGCTCATGACAGAGGAGGGCGTGCTCATCACCGAGGAAGGAGCGCCCATCACCGAGGAGGGAGCGCCCATCACCCAGGAGGGCGCGCTAGGCGCGTTCAGGACTGAGGAGGGTGTGCTCATGACGAAAGAGGGCGTGCTCCTGACGGAAGAGGGCGCGGCCATCACCGAGAGGGGCGCGCCCACCACCCAGAGGGGCGCGCCCATCAGCGAGAGGGGCGTGCCCACCACCCAGAGGGGCGCGCCCATCAGCCAGAGGGGCGTGCCCACCACCCAGAAGGGTGCGCCCATCAGCCAGAGGGGCGTGCCCACCACCCAGAGGGGCATCTCGCTTCCGAAAGCCAAGCCCGTACCTGGGACGGGCAAGGCGGTGCCCGACATGGGCAAGGGGAAGCCGGAGACAGCAAAGTCTCCGATGGGGATGGCCATGCCCATGCCGAGGTTGGTCTCGCCTGCTCTGGGGGTGGCACCTCCGATGGGGATGGCCATGCCCATTCCGGGGTTGGCCATGGCCGCGCCTGAGATGGGCAAGCTGATGCCCGAGAAGATGCGGGCGTTAATGAAATGGTGGAAGGAAGGTCCGCAGGTGAGAGCAAACCGGGCTCCTCCACTCCACCCTCAAGCTCAGGCTGGAGTTGGACCCCAAAGGCGCCCATGACCGCCATCTCGTGGGGGGGGTAGGGAGGGGCGGGAGGAGGAAGGGGCGTGGCCAGGCCTCCGTGAAGCCCCGCCCATGTGGCCCTGCTCGCCTTGCAGGTCATGGAGATGCTCCAGAACGTCATGGAGGAAGTGAAAATCTTGAAGGAAGCCCAGGAGAAGGCACATGAGGCCACAGAGTTCGATCCGATGGTGAGGGCGGCGGGGATCCCACTCCATCTCTTGCCCCGTTTCCAGGGAGGCTCAACCACAGCTCATCAGACACCCAAGGACCCCGAAGCCACCCAGAGGGAAGGCTTAGTGGATAGAGCTGAACCCGGACTGAAGGATCCCGGGTTCAATTCCTGTCAAGGGCAGCTACCTCGGTGTGTCTTTCTCACATCGACGTTTCTCTCCCTCTCCCTTCCACTCTTTCTAAAAATCAATGAAGAAAAACAATCCTTGAAAGAAATAAGGTGGTGGGATTTGAGAGACAAAGCTCAGTTCCAGAAGAGGGGGAGCAACGCTTCCACTTTTGGCAAGCCCGCAGGTCCCTCGCCCATGCTGCCACAGCAGTTCTAGGCAGGGCTCCTGTCCACCCTGAGGCCTCCAGAGGGGACCAGGCTGACCTCTGACCTGCCCAGGACAGGCCAGGGCAGGGAGGGCTCAGAGGCGGCAGCTGGGGAGGCCCAGGTCCGCAGGGGACTCCCGCCCAGCCTTGAGATACCCCATCGGTGCTCATTTTTGTTGTGGGAAGCTTTGCTTTTTAAAAATAGTATTTAATAATTTTTTAAAATATATTTTTATTGATTACAGAGAGGAATGGAGAGAAATATCAATAATGAGAAAGAATCATTGATCGGCTGCTTCCTGCACGCCCCACACCAGTAATCCAGAATAGAACTGTGACCTTCTAGTTCATAGGTTGACGCTCAACCACCGAGCCACGCTGGCTGGAAAGCTTTGCTTTTGCTTTTTGTTAATCCTCACCCCAGGATATTTTTCCATTGATAAATATATATATATATATATATATATATATATATATATGTTTTAGGAAGAGTGGAAGAAAATGGGAAAGACAGAGAAAAACATCCATGTGTTTGAGAAAAACACATCAATTGGTTGCCTCCTGCACAAGCCCCTACCAGGGCCAGGGCAGGGGAGGAGCCAACAACCCAGGCATGTGCCCTTGACCAGAATCGAACCCGGGACCCTTAGCTCCACAGGCAAGCACTCTATCAACTAAGCCAAACTGGCCAGGACAAAAGCTTTGCTTTTGAAAGTGTGGTGTGTTTAAAAAAAAAAAAAGTGTGGTATGTTTATGCTTTTAGGGTTTTGGTGTTTAGAGAAAAGGCTTCTTATTTACTCTTAGGATCTTAGATGATGGAGGTTTGCAGAAGTTACAAGTTTCAGCAATTTGCTTTTTTATTTATTTATTTAAAATATTTTTTAAAAATTTGATTTCAGAGAGGAAGGGAGAGAAAGAAACATCAATGATGAGAGACAATCATTGATTGGCTGCCTCCTGCATGCCCCCTATGTGCCCCGCCGACACAGCCAGGGGTGAACCTGAGAGGGGGCAGTGAAGGATGGAGAAAAGACAGACAAGAAAATAAAGTTGGGTCTGGGTAGGACACTGTCCTCTCTGCTGGAGAAACAGCGCCACAGCCTGCAAGCCAAGTCTTCATTTTTTAGCCAGATTCTAGGAGGCAAAGTAAGGGCGTGGTCACAATGTTCTCATGGGTTTCGGATCCACTCAACTACTACATGCACCTGACCCAGCTTTGTTTACTTGCTGCACCTCCTGCAGCCCACATCACTCAGCCACGTGGGCACACAAGGTTCAGACCATAAGGTCAAGCTCACAGCCACAGCCTCTGGTTGTAATTGTGCTCAGAAGGCTCTGCCCTCCAAACTGGGACCTGCACGTGGCTTTCTCATTAGTCTGTGCCCTCTCATTAGTCTGAGGCTTGGACCTGTCCAAACGCTATAGCTGTTCTCCACACCCTACTGGGGATCGAGCCCATAACCCGGGCATGTGCCCTTGGTGAGGACCCAGCCTGGGATCCTTCAGTCCACAGGCAGATGCTCTATCCACTGAGCCACACCAGGTAGGGCAAGTGGCAATTTGCTTTTGAACATCATAGTTACTCAGCCACCCTGGAAATACTCCCTACCCTCCCCCTTGGGGGGCAGTGTCTCCTCAGTGGTTTGCCCACAGGCTCCCATCCAGCATTAGCATTGGCTCCTGGCACATCTGTCCCTACTCCCTCCACATCCCGTTCTTGTTGGCTTACCCCCCTCTGCCCTCTGCTCCTCTGCGATCCACACACCTCGCTCCTCTCCCCTGCGAGGATGCATGTGTGTGTGGTGGGGGGGGGGGCAGGAGCACCTGCTTTGACTGCCATCTCTGCACTCTTCTTCCAGGGGCTCCTGCATCGGGTGGAGGAAGTAGAGAAGATAGTAAAAAACCGGGAGGAGTTCCTGGTAATGTCCACCAGTTCTGCAAAGGGCCCCGCCAGGGGGTGGAGGAGGAGGGGTGCCCATAGCCTGGCTCCGTCTCTCGGGCGTCCCCAGACCTCCACCCCAGATGTCTGTGTCTCTGCGAGCTGGGACAATGTGTATGCCCTCTGCCTCTCGGGCGCCGCCCCTGGCCTGAAGGGGATCCTTTCCATGGCTGCCCACTGCTCCCTGCGGGCCCACGGGGCACAGGGAGCCAGCTGCCCAGGGCCCAGGGTCTTCTCCTGAGACCACAGGGGATCTGGCTGGGGGGTGTGCATCAGCGCGCCCATGTGCTCTGTGCCCTCAGGAACCCTTCAGCCGGAAGATGTCTCTGTTGCCCCCTGGAGAGGAAGTCACCATGGTCACCTGGGAGGAGCTGGAGCAGGCAATTACTGATGGCTGGAAGGCCTCCCAGGTGGTACTCATGTGGGCAGGGGCTGGGCAGTGGGCTCCGTGGCTCCCCACTTCTCTCCCTTTTTACATATGCATATTTGTTATATATGTATGAATGTATGTATGTATGTATGTATGTATGTATTTTTAGAGGGAAAAGGAGAGGGGTAGAGAGAAACATCATCAATTGGCTGCCTCCTGATGCCCCCTTTTGGGGATTGAGCCTAAAGCCCGGGCATGTGCCCTGACTGGGAATCCATCCTGTGACCTCTTGGCTCCTGGGTTGATGCTCAATCTCTGAGCCACACTCTCTCTTAAATATATCTTATCTAATAAAAGAGAAACATGCAAATTGATCATATCTCCGCTATGGCCCACAGCCATGCCCACCAGCCAATCAAGAGCTAACATGTAAATTAACCCAACCAAGATGGCAGTTAATTTGCATTTCCAGGCCCAGAGCAAAGACTGAAAACAGTGTAGAAGGAAGCCAAGTACTGCAGAAGGGAGCGAAGCTGCAGAGAAGCAAACGGGGTGGCAAAGACCATAGCAGGAAGCCCTGTTGCAGGAATCTTTCTACAATGGGCCTCTAGCATTGTGTGTGTGTATATATTTGAATTGAATTTTAGAGAATGAGGAAGGGAGAAATAGAAGCATCCATAACTGCCTCCTGATGCCCCCTGGTGGTAATTGAGCCTGAAACCTGGGCACGTGCCCTGACTGGGAATCGATCCTGCAACCACTTGGCCCCTGGGTCAATGCTCAACCAACTGTGCCACATCGGCCAGCTATCCCTTTTTACTGTCGCACCGTGTTCCATCCTGTGGATGATCATAATTTATTTCCATCTCTTGTTACTTTCCAGTTCTATAACCAGGTGCTCCGTGTGGCATTCACACTCGTGCACACACCCAGGGCTCATTCCCGGAGGTGGCCGTGCATGTATGACTTGGCTGGCTTTGGGCCAGGTACCTGGCGTGGTGTGGCTCCAGGTTAGAGCCCTGTGGGCTCTCACGGCCCCACCAGCACTGCCTCCAGGTGGCCAAGGCCGGGAGCGTGGCCAGCCAGCTGGATGGACACTGGCACCTGGCTTACTTCTGCGGCATTCCCGGGCTCTTCTCCAGGCTGCCCTGAAATGCCCAGATCCCGTCACGATTCATGGGCAAAGGTGGCAACCGTCCCCGGAAACGAAACCTCTTTAGGGCCCCTTGCTGATGGTGACCTTTACCCTCAGGGAGACTCCCAGAGGAGCCTGCCTGTGTTCGAACCCCCAACCTCGCTTCTCTGAACAAAATGGGCATTTGCTAATGGCCTTTGGGGCAAGGATCTGCTGTCTCCCCCACCACCCCTGTTGTTTTTTTAATCCTCACTCAATGTTTTCCATTGATTCTAGAAAGAGGGATGGAGAGGGAGAGAGAGAGAAAAGTTGATGTGAGAGAAACAACCGGTTGCTATGCATGGGCCCCAACTAGGGACCGAACCTGCAACCTGGACATGTACTCCAACCAGGAATTGAACCCGAGACTGACCACTGAGCAGCACGAGGCAAGGCTCAGCTGTCCTTTTGATATTGACATCTCCCTCCTCTTGGCTTCTGCATCTGGGTTCCTCATAATGGGTTCTAGGGATATGCAGACCCACCCAAGGCCAATATCAGGAACCCTTGGGCGCCACCAAGTGGCCATCTGAGTTGCAACAAATGCTGACTGGGTACAGAAGACACCCTGCTGGTCCCCAAGACTGTTTTCTTTGAATTCTGGGCCCACCTTTAGAGGAAACTCCATCAGAAAGCCCTGGGAGAGGAGCCTAGGACAGAGGAGTGGCTTCTGCTTTTGCTACTTAAAATATATATTTTTAGATTTTTCAATGACAGTTGCCATGCAATATGCGTTTCAGATGTACCACAGTGACTAGAGCCAGTGGTTCTCATCCTTTCTAATGCCGCGACCCTTTAATCCAGCTCCTCATGTGGTGGTGACCCCCAACCATAAAATTATTTTCATTGCTACTTCATAACTAATTTTGCTATTGTTATGAATCGTAATGTAAATATCTGTGTTTTCTGATGGTCTCGGACGACCCTGCTAGCGGTTCTCAACCTGTGGGTCGCGACGTTTATAGTTACTAGACATTTATATATTGCTGTTTAAAGGGCAAGCTGTTTGCCCTAGCCGGTTCGGCTCAGTGGATAGAGTGTCGGTCGGTGGACTATAGGATCCTGAGTTCTATTCCAGTCAAGGGCACAGGCCTGGGTTGTGGGCTTGATCCCTGGTGGAGGCTGTGCAGGAGGCAGCCAATCAATGATTGATGTTTCTATCACTCTCTCCCTCTTCCTTCCTTTCTGGAGTCAATAAAAATATACTTTAAAAACCCTATATAATAAAAGGCTAATATGCAAATTGTCCCCTCAACTGGGAGTTCGACCAGGGGGCGGGGTTGGCTGGCCAACTGTCTTCTGCGGCCCCTCCCCCAGGCCAACCCAGCCTGATAGGCCCCAATCAGGGCGCACCAGCTGGATCCCACTCGTGCACGAATTCATGCACCAGGCCTGTAGTAAATAAATTACTCATGCTCTTTTTTTTTTTTTCTATAAAAAAATTCATTTTATTGATTTTTTACAGAGAGGAAGGGAGAAATTAGAAACATCGATGAGAGAGAAACATTGACCAGCTGTCTCCTGCACACTCCCCCACTGGGCACATGCCTGCAACGAAGGTACATGCCCTTGACTGAAATTGGACCCAGGACCCTTTGAGTTCACAGGCTGACGCTCTATCCACTGAGCCAAATCAGCTAGGGCAATGCTTTTTTCTTAAAACAAAAAAAAAATTATTCAGAGAGGAAAGGAGGAGAGAAAGAAACATCAATGATGAGAGAGAATCATTGATTGGCTGCCTCCTACTGGGGATCAAGCCTGCAACAGGGACATGTGCCCTTAACCAGAATTGAACCCGGGACCCTTCAGTCTGCAGGCCAACACTCTATCCACGGAGCCACACTGGATAGGGCGTACTCATGCGCTTTATTTGTAACCTCTGCGAGAGTTAGCATGGAATCCCTATCTTTATTAGACTGAGGTATGTGACCTGACCGGGAATCAAACCAGAGACCTTTCAGTGCACTGGACAGAGCTCTAACCAACGGAGTCACACTGGCCAGAGCTCCCCGTCTCTTGTAAGGAACGTTATATATTGTGATGCCGTCTGCAACTGTACAGATTCTCAACCATCTGGAGACCTTATCCTTCAAGAGTGTCCGGTTTTGCCCTGGCTGGTGTGGCTCAGTTTGTCGGAGTGTCCTCGTGGGTTTGAGTCCTGGTCAGGGCGTCCGTGGGAGAGGAGTCAACCAATTGATATCTCTCTCTCTCTCTCTCTCTCTCTCTCTCTCTCTCTCTCTCATCAATAAACATATCCACATGTCCTTGGTTGAGGATTTTTTTTTTTAAAGTGACAAATGCTCTTGCTGTCCAGCTTAGTTTAGGGGCCCAGAGGGTCTTCTCCCCTCAAGGGCCGTAGGCTATCTTACTCTGACACCCCCGGTTCCCTCCCCTCCAAGCCTTATGCTGTTCTTACTCGTGGCCTCTGCTTGCTTCCTTCCTCTTCGACCAGGGCATAGAGACCACGCCAGCCATCCTTAAGCGCAAAGTGAAACCGACCGTGCCAAGTACCTCCTCCACTGGGTATCCGGGCGCCGACCAGGCTCCGGACTTGGCTGGCGGCCTTGGCCCAGAGCTGGGACCCAGCGGACTGAAGCCCCCTGACAAAGAACTACCTTCGCCCCAATTAAGGGCTGAAGCCATTCGCCGCAGGCGCAGGGAGTGGCCCAGCTTCGCACGTCTGAGAAGAGTCAAGCGAGATGCACATCCTGGCCCAGCTCCACAGGACCTACCCAGAGACCGGCACCATCTCATGCCCCCGGATGCTCGTGGCAGGATGACCCCCATCCCGGGCCAAGTCATGTACGAAAGGCCCGACCAACTTGGGCCGGGGCCGCCTGGCCTGGACCAGCTTGAGTCTCAGCCTCCTAGCGTTTACCCATATGGCGTCCCCTTCAGCACGGGCCAGCTGGGTATGATGCCACCTGGAATGGAGGAGCAGGGGTTGGTTCAGCATGATATGGTGCCAATGTGGGTACCTGGCATGGGTCAGCAAGGATTGGAACTACCTAGTAGGGCACAGCCTATTGTGATTCCACCGAGTGCACCGCAGTACGGTATGAGATTTCCCGGCCCAGACCAACGTGCCATGGAGCGGCCTGCAATGGACGAGAGACCCGTGGGTGTGAGACCCGTGGGCCTGGATCAGCCGGGGTTTCCAACCTCTGACATGGACCAACAAGTACTGGTTCCATCTTTTAAAGACCAGGAAGATTTTGTACAGCCCAGCTTGGAGCCACCTGTCTTCATGCAGCCTGCCGCACCGCAATCCGATGTGCTTCCTCTCGGAGCAATTCGGCCTGGCTTGGTCCCACTTGCAATGGACCAGCCTGGTTTAGTGCCACCTAGTGCAGGTCAGCCTGGTTTAGTTCAACCTGGAATGGATCAGCCTGGTTTAGTCTCCCCTGGTGCAGGTCAGCCTGGTTTGGTGCCACCTGGTGAAAGTCAGCCTGGTTTGGTGTCCCCTGGTGAAAGTCAACCTGCTTTAGTCCCACCTGGTGAAGGTCAGCCTGGTTTAGTCCCACCTGGTGAAGGTCAACCTGCTTTAGTCCCACCTGGTGAAAGTCAACCTGCTTTAGTCCCACCTGGTGAAGGTCAGCCTGGTTTAGTCCCACCTGGTGCAGGTCAACCTGGTTTAGTGCCACCTGGTGCAGGTCAGCCTGGTTTGGTCCCACCTGGTACAGGTCAACCTGGTTTGGTCCCACCTGGTGCAGGCCAGCCTGGTTTTATCCCACCTGGTACAGGTCAGCCTAGTTTGGTACAGACTGGTAAATATCCACCCGGTTTTGTACAGCCAGGTGCATATCCATATAGTTTCGCTCAACCTGGCCTCTATCCATATGGTTTAGTCCAGCCTGGTGCATATCCACAGGGTTTCATGCGGCCTGATGTGGCAGGTCAGCCTGGTTTAGTCCCACCTGGTACAGGCCAACCTGATGCAGGTCAGCCTGATTTTGTCCAACCTGAAACGGACCAGTATGGTTTAGTCCAATCCGGTGCTGGTCAGCCTGGTGTGGCCCAAGCTGGAATAGATCAGCGTGGTTCAGTCCAACCTGGCGAAGGTCAACCTGGTGTGGTCCAACCTGGAGTTGATCAGCGTGACTTGGGGCAGCCAGGGGCGTATCCCCCCGGTTTTGTACACCCAGGGGCGTATCCCCCCGGTTTTGTACACCCAGGGGCGTATCCCCCCGGTTTTGTACACCCAGGGGCGTATCCCCCCGGTTTGCTTCAACCTGGTGCCTACCCACCACGTGATTGGATGCAGGCTAGCGTCTATCCTCGTGCTTTGGTCCAGCCCAGTGCATATCCACGTGGTTTACTGCAGCCGGATATTGATCAGCAAGGTTTAGTCCCACCCAGTGCAGCTCAGGAAGTGCAACCTGGAGTAGATCAGCCTGTTCTGAGGCAGCCTGGTGCTGATCAAGTACCACCAGGCGCACAGCCTCAAGGCTTTCCACCCCAATATCAGCATGGCATGGCACCTCCTGGCAGAGATCAACGTATCCAGGCATCACCACACCTATCCAGGCAAGGTTGGATGTCGCCTGGTATGGACCAAGAGGGTTTGGCACCTACAGACACATATCCACGAGGCATAGTCCCACATGGCCCAATACCATTAATCACCGGTGTATCTTCACGCCCAGATCTGCAGCATTGGCCATCACCTGACCTGGATCACGCGGGTGCAGACTACCGTGACCAAGCCTCCTTTCTCCAAGACCCACGCGGCCTGTATCCTGGCCCTTATGGCCCAAGGTACCCAGGCATGGATCAACATGTCCAAGCACGTTTGGACCCACACAAAGGCAGGGCTCATACTCCGACCACCCTGGGTCCAGAGCCGAGCGTGGACTCCGATAGCGCATCCTTGCAAGTCTCACAAGAACCGAGTTATATCGAGCCTCAGAGACACGATTCGCTGGAGAATGTGGCTCCGAGCTTCCCCATCGCCATTGAGACCTTCCGCCTGATGGGCGAGCTCATCAGCCTCTACTCAGAGCTCAAGGAGAACATGGAGACCCTGGACGCGGAGAAGGCTGGCGAGAGCGACCTGGAGAAGATCCAGTACCTGATCGCCCTGATGGGTGGGTGCCGCTTGGGCTCTGTCCTCTGTGCCCCCCCACCCCACCCCGGCCTCACCTCTGGCAGTCGTCTGCCCGAACCCCTGGAAACAGATGTCTGTTTTGGGCCATCCCGGGCTCTCTCTTTATAATATCACCTGAGGGCGATGCAGAATCATCCACTTAGACATTAATTGCGTGCAAACATTTCATTAGCTCACCTCTCATGCCTTGGCAGGGCCAGACCCAATGATTTCTCAGGCCTCGTGTGGCCCGCGGGCCGGACATTCCCCACCCCTGTCCCGGAGCCTTCGGGGTCCAAGAGATGGAATTAAGCCATTGGCAGGAAGGCACCTCAGGAGAGGAATGAGGCAGGGCATGCCTCTGTCAGGCTCCCTGGAGAGCAGCTAGGGAAATGCTGGGCGAGGGAGAATAATGAAGATTTTGGAGTTGGGTGGAAACTATGGGCCAGTGGCCCCAAAGCCCTATGGGATGTTAAGCCTTCGGTGGTTTTTTATGGGCTGCGGACACTCTTGTCTCGTGTCTTCCCCTCCCCACCCCCCACCTCCGGTCCTGCAGGAGGGGGGGAGGGGAGGACTGGAAGTGGAGATTAGACACCCTCTGGGGATCGAAGCCTTGGCCTCTGAGCGCCCATTTCCCACAGTCCAAAGGACCATCCCGCCGGACCTGCAGGAGCAGCTGAAGTCCATCAAGATACTGACCAAAGAAGTTCGGCAGGAGAAAGCAAAGGTGAGTAAGGGCGGACCTGCTGCCTGACCTGGGTGCCAGCGACCCCCCTCCCCCACCCCCCATTTGCGCGTTGATGGACCAGTCACCGCGAGTGGAACTGCTATCTCACTGCCTCCTGCACACCCCTCAGGCGGGAAATGCAGCTCGGACCTTGGCGGGTCCTTTCCTGATGGGAAAGCTGGGGCTGGGAGCCGTGGCCTGGGCTGCAGGGGGCAGTCTCTCTGGCTCGGCCCTTTCCAATGAGGGCATCAACCACGGGGCGGCCTGGGGCCCAGTGCGAGCTGACGGGCTGTGGCCAGGGCTGCGGGTCTCCAGTTATTTTTGTTGTTGTTGTTCTCACCCAAGGATATTTTTCCATTGATTTCTAGATAGAGTGGAAGGGAGAAGGCGAGACAGAGAGGGAGAAATATCCATGTGAGAGACACATCGATGGATTGCCTCCCACACTCGCCCAACTGGGGCCAGGGAACTGAGGTGCATGCCCTTGATGGGAATTGAACCTGCACCCTTCAGTCCGCAGCCTGACACTCTATCCACTGAGCCAAACCAACTAGGGCCTTAGTGGTATATATATATATATATTCCTCATATATATATTCCTCATTAGAGGATATTTTCCCATTGAATTTTAGAGAGAGCAGAAGAGAGGGGGAGAGGCAGAGAGAGCAGCATCCATGTGAGAGAGACACATCAGTGCCCCGACCTGAACCAGGGATCAAGCCCTTGACGGGAATCAAACCCGGGACCCTTCCGTCCGCAGGCTGATGCTCTATCCACTGAGCACACCGGCCAGGGCATTAGTTGTCTTCTTACTGAAGACTGTCTACATCATGGGATGGAGAGAGGGAGGGAGGTCAGGAAGGAACCTCGGCTTTTGTCAGCAGGTTGGATTAGGGTCGGGTGTGGGGAGGGGCTCGCTCAGGCCCAGCACTGCAGGGAGCAGAGCCGGTCTCTGACCCGCCTCTCCCGTTGGCTTGTAGCTGGACAAGTTGCAGAGGTTCCTGGAGGGCGAAGGGCAGACAGAAATGGGGAGGGAGGTGGCCACTGGCCCACTGGGCTTGCAGCTGGGTCTTCTCAGGTAAGTGGGCTGTCCTGCCCCCTCTCCTGTCCCCTCCCCCCGCCACCCAGCTCCCAGCCACCAGGGAGGTGGGTGCAGGCTTTGGTTAGCCCACACCCTCTCTGGCCTGGGGCGTGTCTGCTCTTCTGACTGCCCTCATCTAGTTCAAGTTGCTGGTGGGAGTTTCCCAAGTTCCTGAAACAGCTCAGCACTAGGACAACTTGAAGTGCTACCTCCACACCCGCCGCCCCCCCAAAAGGCGCCTTCGACTCTGTCCCCAGGGGGAGCTGGAAGGGAATGCTCTCTGCAGGCCAGGCCTCGCCTGCCACGGCGCGCTGGGCACCCCCTCTGGCAAGGCAGGGCTGTGGGCTCCCAGCCCGAGCTGGGCCCAGGCCCCGGTCCACCCCCTCCATCCCTGACGGCCGGGCTCGGCACTGGGCCGGCGGTGAGCCAGCCGGTGAGCCCGGCATCCGCTGTGCCGCAGGGTCAGCGTGAACGACATTGAGAAGGAGCTGGCGGAGCTGAGGGAGAGCCAGGAGCAGGGCAAGGTCTACATGGAGCACTCGGTCTCCGAGGCCTCCCTCTACCTGCAGGACCAGGTGAGGTGGCCACGCTCTGGGCACAGGGACCGGGCTGCCCCCTCCACGCCTCCTGCGTGCGTGGGGGGGGGGGGGGTGAGCCTCGCTCACTCCCCTGCACCTGCCTTCTCGGTCGCTCCCAGCTGGACAAGCTTAGGACGATCATCGAGAACATGCTGGCCTCGTCGTCCACGCTGCTGACCATGAGCATGTCCCCGAAGAGGACCTCGGTCAGCATGCCACCCGGCCAGATTGACCCCAAGGCCACCTGCCCTGCCTGCAGCCTGGACCTGAGCCACCAGGTCAGCACGCTGGTGCAGCGCTATGAGCAGCTGCAGCACATGGTCACCAGCCTGGCTGCCTCGCGGCCCTCCAAGAAGGCCAAGCTGCAGAGACAGGTGACCGCGCCCCTGGGCTGCCGCCGTGGCGGGGGATCGACCCACGGGGTCCCCCTGCTTAGTCTTCCAGGAGGGAGCCCACAGCGGCCCCTGTGCCTTCCACAGAAGTGCGGGGGAGAGGGGCGTGGGCTGGGGAGGCTCAGCTGGCTGTGGGTGGAGCAGGGCCCCCCACGAGCTGTGGGGTCACGGGCACAGCTTCAGGAAGTACCCACTCTCCCTCCAAGACCCCTCCCTCTTCCCTCCAGAGGGCAGGCTTGCTGGTGGGCGGGGATTGCCGTGAGGCCCTGCATCTTGCCTCTCGGGTCCTGGGCTTCGGAGACGCTGTAGCCCCCACGCTGCCTCTCGGGGGCCGCTCGCCACTCTGAGCCTCGATCACCCCACTGGCCGACCAGGTCCCCGAGGAGGCAGGGCTGAGGCTCCTGTCCCCTGGCAGGGGCGGGGGGGAGGGAGGGATGGTCACAGAGACCGCGTAGGGAGCCTCCCACTGTCCGAGGAACATTGTGGAGACAACTAATGGGTTGGAGGTTGGCCGATGTGCTGGTGTTGTTGTTTTTTTTTTTTTTTAATATATTTTTATTGATTTTTTTACAGAGAGGAAGGGAGAGAGATAGCCAGAAACGTCGATGACAGAGAAACATCAACCAGCTGCCTCCTGCACACCCCCCACCGAGGATGTGCCCGCAACCAAGGCACATGCCCCTGACCGGAATCGAACCTGGGACCTTTCAGTCCGCAGACCAACGCTCTACCACTGAGCCACACCGGTTTCGGCTTTTGTTTTTGTTTTTAATAGATTTGCACTGATGTGTTGATTTCAGAGAGGAAGGGAGAGGGAGAGAGAGAAACATCCATGATGAGAATCACTGATCGGCTGCCTCCTGCATGCCCCGCACGGGATCAAGCCCGCTATCTGGTATGTGCCCTGACTGGGAATCAAACTGTGACCTCCTGGGTCATAGGTCAATGTTCAGCCACTGAGCCATGCCGGCTGGGCTGGGTGAGGTTTTAAGGGTCAACTTATGGGGGGCGAGGGGACGGCCCTGGGGAGCCCCGGCCGCCCCAGTGAGCGGCCCCGGCCCCCGGCCGCAGGACGAGGAGCTGCTGGGCCACGTGCAGAGCGCCATCCTGCAGGTGCAGGGCGACTGCGAGAAGCTCAACAGCGTCACCGGCAACCTCATCGAGGACCACCGGCAGAAGCAGAAGGACATCGACGTGAGCGCTGGGGGCAGGCGGGATCCAGCCACCCCTACCCTTCTGTTCCTCGCTCCTCATTCTCATTCTCCCTTCGCCTCCAGGTGCTGTACCAGGGTCTGGAGAAGCTGGAGAAGGAAAAGGCCAACAGGGGGCACCTGGAGATGGAGATTGAAGTGGTAAGGGCCAGGCCAGGGACCCTCCTGCCTGGGAGGCCAGGAGCAGAGGAAGCCGGGGTGGGTGGGGTGGTGGGGTGTAGGCTCAGCATCAGGGTGACTGCTCAGGGGGCCCGCCGCGGCCCTCTCCCACTGGGCGGCCTCCTCCTCTCTCGGGGCAGAAGGCGGACAAGAGCGCCCTGGAGGGCAAAGTGAGCCGCATGCAGTTCGACGCCACCACGGAGCAGCTGAACCACATGATGCAGGAGCTGGTGGTCAAGATGAGCGGGCAGGAGCAGGACTGGCAGAAGATGCTGGATCGGCTCCTGTCCGAGATGGACAGCAAGGTGAGGGCCGGGAGGCTCCAGGGCCCCTGGACGAAGCCACGGCCGCCTTCTCCGGCCCGCAGAGCACCCACCCGCCGAGCCCCCACCCGCCGTCTTAGGGCTCACCAGGTCCCCCCTGCCCGTAGCTGGACCGCCTGGAGCTGGACCCCGTGAAGCAGCTGCTGGAGGACCGGTGGAAGTCCCTGCGGCAGCAGCTCAAGGAGCGCTCCCCGCTCTACCAGGCGGACGAGGCAGCCGGCATGCGGCGGTGAGCTCGGCGGGGCTGGGAGGTGGCCGCCGGGCGCCCTGCATGACCAGCTCCCACCGCTGTGACTGCCCTACGCAGGAGGGACGGTGTTTGGGGCTAAGGCCGCCCCACAGGACAGTGGAGAGGGAGGGGATGAGGCTGGGGGGGAGTTCCCAGTCCCCAGAGGTGAGAGCACCCCAGGGGGCCCTGGCCCATGGCCGCCTGACTCGCAGCATTTTCGTGAATGACCACCAGGGGGCCCCCGAGGCTTACACAGAGCACCCCTCAGGGACACGTGGGTTAGGACAGGTGGGTGATGGGCATGTCTGGGAGTGGGTGGGTCTGGGGAGCAGGGACAGGACTGGCGGAGCTTCTGGCCTGCCTGGAGGCGGGCTCTCCACGCTCCACTCCCCTCGCTCGTGTGTCCCATCCTCCTGTGTCCCCTCCCCACAGACAGCTCCTGGCACATTTCCATTGCCTGTCCTGTGACCGGCCCCTGGAGACAACTGTGACTGGACAGTGAGTGCCCACACCTGGCTGGCCCCTCCCTGCTGCCTCCCTGTGTCCTCTCGTGGGCCCACTCCTGTCTGCCTGGCCTGCTGCCCGCCTGGTCCTCGCCCCACAGCCCGATGGAGGGCTCCCGGGGCAGGAGGCCCGTGGGGAGGAGCAGGGAGGGGACCATGGGATTTCTCACGCTCGACCCTCCCTTCCTCTGCCCCACCCAGGGTCCTCCCCACCACGCCCGTGGGGCCCAGCATGCCTGGGCACCGCTCCACCCGCCCCTACACGGTGTTTGAGCTGGAGCAGGTGCGCCAGCAGAGCCGCAAGTACGCAGGGGAGTGTGTGCAGGGGAGTGAGTGTGCACAGGGCTGTGCAGGGGGGCAGGAGGACAGCGATATGGGCGTCCCTCACCAGGGCTTCTGAGTTGGCGCCAGCTCTCCCAGGGCAAGAATGGGGCTGGCAGGAGAGGAGGACCAGAAGCACCTGCCTTCAGAGTCCGGGGGCCGGGGGGGGGGGGGTGGCAGCCACCTTCCCGCCTCACCCGTTTCCAGACCCTCGGTGGCGTGGAGGGGCGTGGAGGGGCAGGGGCCACATCACTCAGCAAGAGGTTGCTCAGGCCCGCTCCGGAGCTCGTGCCCCCTCCCTGCACCTCCCCGCCTCCTGAGGATGGGCTCGGCAGAGGGGGGTCTTCAAACTGCTTAGGAGCCTGGGGGGTTCTGGCGTGCGAGGCCAGGCACCGCCCCGTTCCCCCCCCCGCCAGGCTGGCTGGAGGAGCTGGGCTTCTTTCCATGCGGCTCTACTGATTGCCCACCCCAGCAGACCTTCCCTGGTGAGCCTGGACGTGGCCACTCGCGTGGGGGCTGTGGAAAGGGCTCCTGCCCACCTGGTCCCGCTGAGCTGGGGGCGTGGACTCCGGCCTGTGCACGGGGTCCGACCTGTGCGGCCGCCCCACCCTCCTCTCCCCACACCTGCAGCCTCAAGCTGGGCCACTCGGCCTTCCCGCGGGCTGACCTGGTGTCCATGGAGCGGAGCGTGGGGCGCCTGCGCACCATGCACTCCAAGATGCTGATGGACATCGAGAAGGTGCAGATGCACTATGGGGGCACGGTCAAGGCCAGCAGCCAGATGATCCACGAGCTGCTGCAGGCCCAGTGCCTGGGCTCCCCCTGCTGCAAGCGGTAGGATGGGGGCAGCCTGAGCCCCTGGGAACGCCTCAGCCCGCCACTGGGAGAGCCCTGAGGAGGGAGGAGTGTGTGTGTATGTATGTGTGTGAGTGTGTGTATGAGTGTGAGTGTGACTATATGTGTGAGTATGAGTATGTGTGTGTATGTGTATGAGTGTATGTGTATGGGTGTGTACGTGTGACTGTGTGAGTGTATGTATATGTATGTGTGTGACTGTGTGTGTGAGTGTGAGTGTATGTGTGTGAGTGTGTGTGTGTGAGTGTGTGAGTGTGTATGTATGAGTGTATGTGTGTGAATGTGTGTGTATGTGAGTGTGTATGTGTGTGTGTGTGTGTGTGCGCGCGCGCGAGTATGTGTGTGTGTGTGCATGTGAGTATGTGTGTGAGTGTGGTTCTCAGGATGGCTGGCCAGGAGGCTGCTCTGCTCACCTGCCTGTCGCCCTTGCTCCTGAAGCAGCGGCCCTGCCCCCTGGCAGCTCCCGGTCACCCCGTCCCGTCCCCCGCTGTCCCCCTCACAGGGTGTCGGAGATGAGCGCCTTCAGCTTCACCACAGTGTCTCGGCACTGCGGGGGCAGCCACACCCTCACCTACCCCTACCGCCGCACCCGCCTGCAGCACCTGCAGCAGGGGCTGTTCCCTGAGGACGTCCAGGTTGCCAGGAAGGTGGGTGCTGCCCGAGGACAGGAGGAGAGCCGCATGACCCCGGGCCCCGTCCTCTGGGAACCACCGAGGTCACTGGGGATCGAGCCCACAACCTGAACATGTGCCCTGACTGCAATTGAACACGGGACCCTTCAGTCTGCAGGCCCATGCACTATCCACTGAGCAATAATAGCTAGGGCGAGGCAGTTTCTTATTCAGACCCAGTTAACACCAAGTTCTTACCCTTGGTCGGGAAAGGAATGCCATCCTGGCCACCCACCACCGGGCCGAGGCCTCCAGCCAGGGCCCTGAGAGCCAAAGCCCCTCCCCCTCCTCTCCCTGTCCATCTGCCCGGGGCCCACAAGGGGCTGAGCTCGGTGGGTGCTGGCATCGGGAGGTCCGCGGGCTGTGCCAGGCTGTGTGGAGACAGGGCCAGAGGAAAGCCTCCGGGCCACGTGGTGATGACCCCTCCCTCCGCAGCACCACGAAGTGGACATCCTGGGCCTGGATGGACATATTTACAAGGGACGGATGGACACGAGGCTGCCAGGCATCCCCAGCAAAGACAGTGAGTGTCCGGGGGCCCAGGCGGCCTCCAGGACGGCGAGCTCCCAGAAGGCCAGGCGCGTGGGCCCCGGCCCCTGGCTGCTGCTCCACCTCCAGCCCCAAACGATCCGTCCCCAAAGCCCAGCTGTTTGCAGGGCAGCCAGCTGTGCAGTCCCCGCAGCCCCTCCCCCCGGCTCAGTTGGGGTCTGAGAGGGCCTCCCCCCCGCAACAGGCGCAGGGAACAACAAGCACAAGATCAAGCCGTCGCGCTCCCACACGCTCCGGCAGCTGGACAGCAGCCAGCTGCCCCTGCGGCCTCAGAGCGCCCACATGGCGGCCGGCAGCATCTCAGGTAGCTTCCCTCTGGGGGTCCTTCTGGGCCTGGGCACTGCCCGCCACTCCCTTCCTGCCAATGGCTGGGAGAGGCAGGGGAGCTGAGGGCTGGGCCTGGGGGGCAGAGAGAACACATCACCGCTGACCGCAGGGGGCGGGGAGACACGACTCCAGTCTGTGGGGCGGATGCTGCTGTGAAGACCCCACTTCACAGACAAGGAGTCAGACAGGGAGCAGCCCAAGACTCTGGCTCCAGGCCAAGCGCCCCCCCCCACATGCTCACAGCCTGTGGGGGCCATTGAGCCCTCCGTCTGCTTCTGCCTGTGAGGCCCTCCTCCTTGCCCCCCACCCCAATCGGAAGGGTCCCGAGAAATCCCCGGCTGAGGGCCTCCCCAGTGAGGCCACACCCGGGGGCCAGGGAGGCGCGCCAGCCTGGGGCCAGGAGCAGGTCGCTTCCAAGCACCTCCAGCCGTTTCCTCTGTCAGTGACGGGGCACTGGGCTGGGGCCCCTGGGTGGGACCCTCAGAGCGGCACCTGCAGAAGCTGGAGGTCAGGGCCAGGCCTGGGGCTGTGACACGGCTGCAGGCCCAGCTCAGGGAGCGGCGGGAGGAGCAGCTGCAGGTGGTCAGGCACTGGCCTGCCCGAGCCGCTCAGCTCCCGGGCGCTTTACACGTGGGAGCGATCGAGTCCTCGGGCCAGCGTTAGGGGAGGGGCCCTGCCAGCCTCACCTGCACTGAGGCCCCCTGCCGGGCCCCAGGCCTCAGGCCTCAGCTAGGAAGCGGCAGCGCTGGATGCCGAGCCCAGGCCTCCGGCCCCAGGTACGAGGCGGGGAGAGGGGGCTCAGAGGTGGACAGAGCGTGGTTTGAGGCTGTTTTGGGGGGTACTGCACTCCCTTCTCCCTGGCACTCACTGTCTACGCCAGTCGTCGGCAAATGGCAGTTCTCGACCCAAATGCGGCTCTTTGGACTCTTGAGTGTGGCTCTTCCACAAAATACCACGGCCTGGACGAGTCTATTTTGAAGAAGTGGCGTTAGAAGTAGTTTAGGTTTTAAAAATGTGGCTCTCCAAAGAAATGTCCATCGTTGTGCTGTGGATATTTGGCTCCGTTGGCTAATGAGTTTGAGTTTGCCGACCACTGGTCTACGCCAAGGGCACCTGAAATGCCATGGGAGCAGGGGGAGGAAGGGGAGGCCTGGGTGTTCCTGCTCGTGTGACTGTGGCCTGAACAGCCCCGTTCCCGAGGACCTAGACCCAAGGGGGGCTCTTGGCCCGAGGAGGCTGGTGTTTCCCTTTGGCGATGAGAAAGGAGCTTTGCTTCGGGGCGCCTGTGAGGACTGCACCCGGCCCAGGGCAGGGCCCTCTCCAGCAGGGGGCTGTGGGGCCATGGGGAGCGAGGCAGAGCCCCCCAAGCCCTCCTATCTTGCAGCTACTTCTCGGCAACACACAGACAGACCGGTCTCCTCGGAGGGGCGCCTCTCCCAGCCGACCGTGGCCCACCTGCCCAGCCCCGGCGGGATGGCCATGCACATGGACGTGCCCCCCGGGGAGGGCATGGAGGAGCCCATCCGGGGGCCCAGGACCCCCAATACTCGCTGAGCAGAGCTATAAATAAATGTTTGCAAGAAGCTGGCTTCCCTGTCCTGGCTCAGAGGTGCAGGCAGAGGGAGGGGCCCGGGCCAGGTGCTCCAGGCGGCAGGCCTCTGGGAGAGGGTGTCTGGCTTACAGTGTGAGGATTAGGCCAGGGCCCCCCAGAGGGAGCCTTCGAGGGAGTGGGAGGGCAGGGCTGGATGGGACGCGCCTTCCCTGCCGTGGCCCGGCCTTCCTGCCGGGCAGGGTGTCTGGGAGCAAGCTGCACCTTGGAGCAAAGGTGAGGGTGGCAGCTGCCTGCTGCTCCCCTGGCACAGAGCCCGGAGCACTGCCCAGCCGCCGGGCAGGTTTCTGCCGGAGGGCCTCTGCTTACCCGTGGGGCAGGCGGCTCAGAGCGGCGGCAGGCTGGGCCGTTCTTATCCCTTTTCTTCCCAACCCCAAGAGAAAGGGGGTCCTGAGGCCTGCATCCTGCCCTGAAGCTCCTTGCTTTCTTGCGCTAGCCCCCCAGGCGCAGGGTCAGTGCCGAGTCCTCAGCTGAAGGCTGGGCAGGCGGGGGGGGGGGGGGGGGGAGTGAGGGGGAAACAGGAGCAGGCTGGGTGCAGCAACCTCACAGGACAAGGCCCTGGGTGTCACCCAGGGACCAGGCAGCCCCTCACCCCAAGACTCTCAAGTTCATGAAGCAGTTCTGTGCCTCAGGTCTGTTCCCATTAGCTCCTCCTCAAAGGTGGGGATCCCCCACCCCCAGTCCCTCTCCACCCCCCATGGGAAAGCAACCTGAGGCGAGGCCTGCTTTAGGGTGTGAGGGGCGGGGTGGCAGCCTCACAGGAAAGTGTGGCAGGAAACAGCCCCGAAAAGGGGTTCTCCCTGTCCCCACCCTTGTGGGCAAGGAGGCGGGGCTGGCGAGGTGTCACGGGAAAGGTAGGGGCTTCCCCTCCTTCCCCACCTGCGGGGCGCACTCATCTCTAAGTAACGAGGGACACTCAGGCTTGGTGGCGGGGGGGCCAGTCTGGTGGGCACCCCCACACAGCACCCTGCCCCGCAGGCAGTGAGCCAGGCCAGCCTCTGCTCCACTCCCGCTGGGGCTCCCATTTCTCTCTGCCTGGACGGGAGGGGCAGCCACAGGGCCAGGCAGCCGTCAGCACAGTTCCCCCACAGGACACGGGGTGACACCCCCAGGCAGGCAGGCCGGGCCACGGGGTGAAGTCCCAGCAGGACTACCCCGGCTGCAGGGGCAGCCCCCAGCCTGGGAACACAGGTGGGCAGCTGCAAGGGTGCGGGGTGGAGCCTCAGGGGTTTCCAACCAGGAAACAAAACCGAAAGGACAAGCCCAGCCTCAAAGGACGGGCCGCGTGGGGGTTCAGGGGCAGCTGCCGGCTCCCCTCCCACAGGTGCAGCCCAGAGGCCGGAGCAGGGGGCCCCGGTGGGTCCAGTGGGATGTGGGGCTCGAGGAGGGAGGGATCCGGCCTGGGCCAGCCCGGGCCACAGGGCACAGGCTCCTCACCCACCGACCAGCTGCCTGCTGGTCCTGCCCCGAGGCGGCCTCTTTGAGCCCCCCAGCAGCCCTGGCTGACCTCTGGGTCCCGCCACTAACACGCTCAGAAGGTCCCGCTACCCCGGGGAAGGAGGCCAAGGGCAGCAGAAGGGGCTGGGGCGGCCGCTGGGGAAGGAGCAGCCCCCCCGCCCCCGAGGCAGCGGAGACCATGGCTGTGGGGCTAACAGGCCTGTGATGGGTAATGACGGAAGGCCAAGGAGCGAGGCTCACAGTAACCAAGTCATGACCCATCCTTCCTCTCCCCCCACATCCCACTGGACCGAGCTGCCCATGCCCAGCGCGCCGCCCCCACCCTCCCAAGCAGAGCTGTCCCTCCAGGACAGCAGAGGCACCGGCCAGGGAGTCAGGAAGGTGCCTAAGCGTGGGTGTTACTGGAAATGGCCCATTTGGGAACTAAACCCGACGGCAGGTGCCCCTCCCGCCTCCCACTTGGCCAGGCAGGACGGGAGGCAGGCCCCGAGGAGGCCGAGGCGGCGTCTCGGGGGCAGGAGGTCCCACACCTGGGGCGGCCCTCTTCCTCCCAGGCCACAGCATGGCCGTGCCCGAGAGCAGGCAGCCGGCAGACAGCCTGGACCGGGCGGAGGGTGCTGCCCCTCCCTCTGACCCGTCCCCCAGACCAGCAGCGCATTCACGTGGTTATATTTATATATTTATATATTACAGTTATATATTAAAAACAGAAAAACTTGCTTGAAGAGAAACTCCTGAAGGACCCAAGTGGCTCAGGAAGTTTACTGTCCCCCCGCCCCCCAAATTCCTTTATAAAATCTTCCAGTGCGATCTTCAGGAAACCCACCCGCCCAGCCCCCGCCCGGCCCGCCTGTGTCCCCACGACCCGGACTGCCAGCTCAGCCCCGCGGCGTCCAGTCTCATCTCTGGCCGTCCACGGCGGCCATGGCTTTCTGCGGGGCGCCCCCCTGTGGGGCTCCGGGGGGCCACGTGGGCTGTGGGTGGTGGAGGTGGTGGAAGCTGTGGGCCGTCGGGGAGGAGGGCGGCATCCAGGCGGCCTGGTGGCTGGGCGGGGACGAGGCCCAGAAGGGGCTGAAGCTTGCGGGGGGCGAGCAGGCCGCGGCTGTCATGGGGCTGCCGCTCTGCAGGCCCTCGGACGCGCGCAGCTTGGAGAACATGGCCAGGGCGTCGGGGAAGTTGGGCGGTGTGGCTGGCGTGTTGCTGGGGGTGCACATCTGCTCAGAGAGACACACGTGTCAGGGGGCTGTCCACGGCCCCCGAGTCCCCGCACAAAGCATCCCTCTCCGAGCCAACAAGAACAAGAACACAAGGACACCCTGGCCCTTTCCACCAACACAGGAGGGCTCCTGACGCTTAGCAGCTGCCCTGAGGCGTGTGGGGCGCGAGAGGTTAATTCCCACCAGAGCCGGGTGTCAGATTAAAGCAGGCCAGGGAGCAGCCCAGGACACAGGTGGCCTGGCCGGGAGGAGCCCAGCTGGCCCCTCGGTGATCCGCCCGTGTTCCGAGCTGCTGGGGGAGGGGGATCAGGTCCGCCCGGCAGCCCGGGGAGCAGAGGCGGGTGTTGGTTTCAGGCCGCAGTAACGCCAGCCCGGGTCTTGTTTCTCAGTGATGTCAGGTCTGTCCTGCTACCTTCTCGAGACTGCAGTAGGGGAAACCGAGGCCCAGAGCTTGGTCACTTGACAACACCCACACAGGGGCTGAGCCAAGAAGGGGTCCGGGGTCTGCAGGCCCAAGCTGAGCCTTCCTCAGCCCCTCACAGTCAAGTGCAACTCTGTGGGTGGCTCCCCCAGGAATCGCCCCCCAGGCTGCTCTTGGCTGAGGTTGTCAGAGGATCTGTCTGTCCAGCCCCTCTCAGCCCCTTCCTTTCCTGGGGAGGGGGGTGTGTCACTATAAACATCCTGCCTGCTGTCTTCGGCTACTACCTGGAGGGGCTCCCCAAACTCCTCACTATCCTGCCATTTCTGGCCAGGGAAGCCCAGCAGGAAGGGCAGGAGCCGGGGTGGGGCTGGAGCAGGCACCCTCGGGAAGCAGAGCCTGCACAAAGCCCGCTTCTGACCTCACCAAGCTTCTCCCTTTCCCAGGCAGCCACGGAGTCTATCTTTGAATTTCTCCTAATTTTAGCAACACCGCCCCTCCCCCAGGCCAGATTCTAGGACTCCTCACCTGGCAGGGAGGGGTACAGGGCTCTCAGCTCAGCCCCAGCCAGAAAGGGAGGGGACACCCCACCCTGTTCCCAGCCGGCCCCAGTCAGCCGCTGGGAAGCTCTGACCATTGTCCGCCTTAGGGGCAGCCTCACCCAGACCACAGGCTTCCTCCTCCCTTCATTCCCTGCCCCACCCCCACCCCAGGGCTGGCTTCTCCGCAGCAGGAAACAATGAATGGGGGGGGGGGGGTAGAAGCCAATTGCATCACAGCATTGTGACCAACTTCCCCAGTTCACCCAGCCAGGTACTCTGCCCCGCCGCTCCTTAACCCCTCTGGTCCCGGAACACGGGGAGCTGCTCCAGGGCGCCGAAGGCCCTCCCGCTGTGCTTTCTGACAGCTCCTAGTACTCAGGCCCATGGCACCCCAAGGCACCCTGCCAGTGTCCTGCCCCCCCCCCCCCCCCACGGGCTTCTCCCTCCCAACCAGCCCAGGCCCCCTCCCACCACGTGCCTGTGAGTCGGCTACAAGCAACCCCTCTGGCTGCTCACACCTGGTGCCTTCTGATGCTGCCTCGCCATCAGTCTCTGTGGCTGTTTAACTTTTCCCTTTGGTTTACTGTCTAAAGGACTAGCTCCTCGCAGGCAGGGTGTGCACTGGGCCTGATGGGCGCACCGATTAGGCGGTTACACAACCCAGCCTGCCTGGGGCGAGGGAGCTTCAAAGGACTGGATACCTGGGGACGGGCAGATCAGGGGCCTCTGGACCTAGAGGGACCTCCAGTCCCAGTTCTCGCCCAGAGCCTCCCTGCCACGCACCACACAACGCTGTTCTGGGCGCCCTGGGCCTAGGGGGCCAGCGGAGACCCTTTGGGGGGAGACGGGCAGGGGGCACACGCGGGGAGGGCAGGCCTTCCAGCCACAGCCCTGCCGCCAGCAGCTCTCCTGCCCTTCCAGGCGCTGTTTGTGTACAGCGTGAGCCACCCCAGGAGAAGTGGAGTAAGAGGCCCAGGCAGGCCTTTTCTGTCTCTGTAACTACACAGGCAGCTGAGGGCGCCAAGGACAGGCACCAAGGAGCCATTTGCAGATCCTCCGAAAAGGGAGCCACAGGCAAGGCCACCAAGTGCCAAAATGCACTCCCAAAGCCACAACAGACCTGGGAGTCATGTTTTACACCCGCTGGGGCAGGGGCTGGGCGGGGACAGTCCCGCTCTCCCCCCAAGCGGGGTAATAGGTAACCAGGGGGGAGGAGGGGAGGGACAGGCCTTCCAGTCTCGCAGGGAAGGGGTGTCCGGTGAGTGGAAGGCAGAGGCTCAGGCCTGGGGACCGGAAGAGAAAAGAAAGCAAAGCCCGGCCCCGCCGACCACTCCTGCTCCCTGGCTCCTGTAGGTTCCCACGCTGAGATCAGCAGCAAATTCCTGGCATTTTCTGGTCAAAATCTATTCTGTCCTCCGAGCTCGGGGTATGTCCTCTTTCCCACAAACAGGAAAGAGCGTGCATACCCCCCTGGGTCTATCTCCTTCCTGTCCCCGGGGCTGCCTGCCCGACAGCAAGAGGGGGTCCCCGGACACAAGACACCGCGGCCCCCAGACCCTCCCGCCCCCCCGCCCCTGCACGGGGCTCCCGGGCCCAGCCGCCCCCTCTCCGCCCCCAGAGCCCCCGCCCCGCTCCCGGCCCCGGGGAGGGCCCCGGGCGCAGGGCTCTGGGCCGGGCCGCTTTCCTGGAAGACATTTTGGCTCTTTGTTTACATCGCGGCGCTCGCGGCAACATGGCTGTCACCGCGGGGCTGACAGCGGCCGGCGGCGCCCGGCCCGGGACCCCTCCCGCCCGCGGCCGCACTTACCATCTGGGGGGGGTGGTGGCCGCTGGGAATGTTGGTTTCTTGGAAAAACGTGCTCAGGGCGGTCTGCGGGGACAGCGCGGGGCGGTCAGCCGAGCCGGGCCGGGCCGGGCCGGGCGGGCGGCCCCCGAGCGGCCGGCCTCCGCCGGGCCCCGGCGCCGCGCTCCCGCCCCGACCCCGGCCCCGGCCCCGGCCCCCCCGCCGGCCGGACGCGCCGCCGTGGGGCGTCCCCGGGCCCCGCGCGGGGCACCGGGCGGCAGGGCCTCCGCGCCGCCCCGGCCCGCGCCCCACCGGGACCTCGCGGATCGCCTTCCGGGACCTCGCCTGCCCCCCCGCCCGGGCCCCGAGGCCGCCGCCGCCGCCCGCACCTCGAACTGCCAGTGGGCCGCCTGCAGGAGCTGCTTCGCCTGGTCGGCCGCGCAGCCCGCCGCCAGCACGAACTGGTTGATCATGACCTGGTGCCGCAGCTCCTCCATGTTCACCGACATGGCTGCGCCGGCGCGCGGTGCTCGGCGGCCGCGGGAGGCCGGCCGCCCCGGGCTCGCGCTCCCCGCCCGCCCGCCGCCTCCGGCCGCCGCCGCCGCGCTGCCCGCCGGGCGAGAGTCGCGGTGCGGCTCCCGCGGCCGCCGGCGCACACACAACAGCGCGGGGCGGGGCGGGGGCCAACGTTCGGGGGCCGCGAGCCGCCGCCGCTGATTGGCCCGCGCCGCTCGGCCCGCTCCCGGTTCCGAGCGGACGTTCGGTTCGAATCCCGAGGCCTCCGGACCCGCACTGTTTCCCTTTTTTCGCCCGGCCGCGCCCATTGGCGGAGGCCGGCGCCGTGGGGCGCCGCGGCATTGGCCGGCCGCAGTGTTTTGGCCCGTTCGGGCTCGCGATTGGCCACGGCTCTGCGTTTGGGGCGGGGCCGCGCGCGCTGATTGGTTCCCCGTGAGCCCGTTTGAACTCAACTTAAAAACCCGGAGTGCCTGCTGATTGGCCCAGGCCCCTCTGTTTGGTGTTGTAGGCTTGGGGGGAGGTGCGGCCAAGTTCATTCATTACTTCATTGAGGCTGAACATGCTCAGCTGGAAAAGCAAGACAGAGTGGCTTTGACTCATTTCCTCTGAAAGATGTGGTCATCTCGAGAAACAGAACGATCAAAACAGAAAGCAGATAGAGCCTGCGCAGCTGCTCAAGCCTCAGAGTGTGTTTATTTTTTTTTAAATCGTTCAAGCAGCTCTACTCCTTTTTAGCCTTTAAAAAAAATATAATGTACCCTTTTCATACTTCCTTCCCGTCACTACCCACCCCAAAGGCCAAGCAGGTTTTCTCTCTGTGTGTGTGTGAGTGTATGTATGTGTGTTTGTGTGTGTGTGTGTGTGTGTGTGTTTGTGTGTGTTTAGACCAAAACTTAGCTCTCTGAAAACGTAAACCAATGCTAATGTACACTAAATATCATTGCAAGGGAATAAATAAGACCTTCTCAGTCACTAATATCCTAAACTCCGATTTTTGTTGTTGTTGTTGTTAAATTGATTGATTTAACCAAATATTTCATTTCTACCCTCTTTTTCATGCATTGTTTGTTATACAGGTTCTGGCTATCAATCCTAGCCACTTAAAAACAGTTTGCTTATAGTGCTCCACCTTCTGGATTAGGATTTGACCTTCGGGGCTGTGGTTGGGAACTGAGGGGGTGGATAAAGAACTGAGAGTTGAAGCAACTGTGGAAGGGCAGAGACCTTAGGAAGATAATATTACTAGAGATTCCCTATTAGAATGTCTGCTTCTAAAAAAAAAAAAGTATTACGTTTCGGGTCTTTTGAGGCTAAGAATAAAGAGCGCCATGATCCTATTCTGAGTTTGCCTGAAGTGGATTTAACTCGCCATCGAAGAAAACAGGACCATCTAAACATACAGTATACATTGGGAAATAGTGACACCCAATGTTTATTACTGATGAAAAACAGCCTCGGGCACTAGCATGAATTTTCCCCTTTTAGACTTTTGTTTATTTGTTTTGAAGGGACGGGAGTCAGCTTTTTGCCGGCTGAGACCTGTTTCTCTTGCTGTGATTACACTTGGCCTCCCCACCATGTGCCTGGGCTGAGACTGGGCGGGCGGCTGGAGAGGCCAGTCCGGCTCGCAGCTCTTCCCCCGGTAATTGCAGGGTGAAAACAAAAGTGGGCAGTCGGCAGCCTCCGCGCTGGGCGCTCAGGCCACCACAGCCCTGGAACCAGGAAGTCCTGTCACTGCGGGCATGCTTTCACAGGTCTGTGCAGGTGTCAGACATGCCAGGGCCGTGAGTGGCAGCATGTCCCTGGGCGGAGGCATTCAGCACGCTGGAGTTCTTAGGTCTCAAGTAAGGATTTCGAGAGGGAGACGAGGGCCCGAAAGTGCCCACATTGCCAAACCTCTTGCCTCCTGGACACTGAGGCAGTCTGTCCCGAAAGGTGGTGTAAGGTTTACCATCTGCAGGTACCTGGGAGGGGCGTGGAAGGCAAGACCCCCAAGCCAGAGAGACGGGGTGACGATTCTTTACGATGGGCCTGAGGTTGCTCTGGGCTGAGTGACATGCGGCTGCGAGGCAGAACGTGATCATTTGGCTTCATCCTCCTCTGGGCTGGATAACCCGGGCGTGCCTGGCCTCCCCCTCGCAACTCCCCCCCTCCCCACACACACACACCAGATCAGTGCAGGGAGCACTGATGAGGTCATGTTTAGAGGGCTCTGAGCTGTGGGGATGAAAGCGACTCCAAGTGCAAGGTGTCATTAACTCAAGGTGTTATTATTTTATCTGCGAGGACAATGTGCGCAGGCAGAGCAGAGCCATAAACACAGGCCCATTAACAGCAAACGGAACACAGCCGTGCCTTGGAAGGAACAGAATCCTTCTCAGTGAGGGGTCTCGCTGCAGAATGAGCCGAGGCGCAGCCTTGGCCAGGATTCCCTCGGGTGCGGATATCAAGGATGTTTTATTTTATATACATATATATATATATATATGTGTGTGTGTGTGTGTATATATGTATATATATGTATATATATGTATATATATGTATATATACGTGTATATATATATGTTTGTGTGTGTGTGTGTGTGTGTGTGTGTATATATATATATATATATATATTGGTTTCAGCCAGGGAGGGAGAGGGAGGGAGGTAAAAACATCAATGATGAGAGAGAATCATTGATCCGTTGTCTTCTGCCCCCCCACGCTCCCCCACTCCCCATGGGGACGAAGCCTGCAACCCCGGCATTTGCCCTTGACGGGACCCTTTGGTCTGCAGGCCGACGCTCTATCCACTGAGCCAACCGGCTAGGGCTTTTTAAAGCTCTATTTTTTTTTTTTTACTGCGGAGGTTTGAAAATGAGTGAGCCTCGGTGGGGAAGGGGGGCCAGCTGTCTTGTGCAATCGTGGGAGGGATGGAGGATTGTAATCCCTACCTCCATCTCTGCAGGGCACTGGGTTCCTGTTCCTTCCTTCCTCCTTTCTCTCTTACTCCCCTGACCCAAATGGGTCCAACCAAGCTGAGGGGAACTCGAGGGCCCTCAGGTACGGAAGGCCCACCGAGTGCAGGTTCCTGGGACCTGCACAGCATCTCTGGCTTCACACTCCCAATTGGTGTGACGCTCGGAGAGGGCAAGGAACCTACTCAGGGTCACACAGCCCCTGCCTGATTTATGCCAGCAGTAAGATCAGGGTGTGAGTGATCCCGGAGTTCATTTCCTTCCTCCCCTCCTTCCTTATTATTTATTATTATTATTATTTTAGTTCCTCTATTGTTGCTTCAAGACGCCCAGGCAAAGGGACACTGTGGCCCCGTGGTTAGGAGGAGCAGAGAGATATTGAGAGTCGAGGAAGATGGGAAAGGATGCAAATGCCAAGATAAGGAGACACAGCCCTCAGGCCCGTGGGGCAGCGCTCCTGTGGGTCAGCCAGGAGGCTGGAGGCAGCAGCTGGGGACTAGGGCAGGCAGCTCCCTGCTGGGGGGCAGGGGGCGGGGTACGGACTCTGCCGCTATTGCTTGCTCTGTCTGCTCAGTGCGACCTCAGTTCGTAACTACTTTTCCTTGCGAATGGGAGCCGCATCTACTGTAAGATGGGTCAGGCCGACCTGGCCACGTTGGAAACACTGATCTTTTTCTTATCTTTTCCATAAAGCCCATGGGGGCTCTGTGCCGGCATGGTCCCTCCACTGCCGGCCCATGCCAGTCCTCCCCCGTGATGACTGCGATTGGTGTTTACTGAGAATGTGCTGTGAACGCGGCTCTGCTCAGTTCTTTTTTTTTTTTTTTTTTAAATTTTAAATATATATATTTTATTGATTTTCCACAGAGAGGCAGGGAGAGGGATAGAGAGCTAGAAACGTCAATGAGAGAGAAACATCAACCAGCTGCCTCCTGCACAACCCCCACTGGGGATGTGCCCGCAACCAAGGTACATGCCCTTGACCAGTTTCGAACCCGAGACCTTTCAGTCCACAGACCGACGCTCTACCCATTGAGCCAAACCAGTTTCAGCTCTGCTCAGTTCTGTTCTTTCTTTTTTTAAAAATTATCTTAGTTAGCACAACAACCCAGCGATGTTGGGACCGGGCCTATTCTCAGTGAACAAATGGGATCAGAGAGGTTAAGTGACTTGCCCTAAGTGGCTCAGCGAGCTCAGGGTGGAGCTGAGAGCTGAACCCCTAGGGCTCCTCAAGACCCCAGTCTACTCTCCATCCTGGTCTACCCACTGCTCCACCCCCCTCCTCCTCAGGGACTTTGGGCAGGTAGGAACGTTGGTCTGTGCTGTGAGGAGGAGCCGGGAGGTCAGAGCGGGTCGGGGGATGAGTTCACGCCGGTGCACACGATTACCGGTTCACCCACGGTCACGTGCCTCCCGGGGACAAAGGCCAGACCACACCCCGCAGAGCTAATGGCATTTCCCCGAACAGCCCGGTGGCCCGGACGCTCTGTCCTGTGCCCGCGGCCCGGCGATAAGGCGCCTCACCACGCAGCCAGGTGTGCTGGGAGCTGTGTCCCCCGCAGGCCTTTGGAAGGGACCCCGAGGTCGGGGCTTGGCTGAGGGGAGGAGGCAGGCAGGCAGGGACAGCTCGGGAGCAGCCCTCCGCTCAGGGGGCCTTGACGGCCGGCTTGGACCCAGGCTCCCAGCCACTTTCCCTCAACGGCACTGGGCCTCCCAACCCCACCCCGCATCCAAAACACAGAGTCTTGTTGCTGTGGCAGCTGCTAACCTGACTGCCCCCCGCCCCCCATTTTTAAAAGAAATATATCATACACCGCCTTAGCTCAGTGGTCGGCAAACTGCAGCTCGAGAGCCACAGTTTGCTGCTCTGCTGACTGCATTTGCCGACCACTGCCTTACGAAAAACACTTAAAAAAATTTAATAATGTACTAATATCTTTAACCTGAAGTCAAAACTTCTGGGTAAGGGTAATGCCTTACAGCAGTGGTCGGCAAACTCATGAGTCAACAGAGCGGCAGTTTGCCGGCCACTGCCC